CATCTTTCATTTTATACAGATTCATTTATAGGGGTATACCGAGATCAATTAACAGAACTTTTTATACTTTCAAGCAAGTTTTGTCAACCCTTTTCATGAGTATATTCGGAGCGTCTATTAATAAGAAACAATGTATCGATGAAACTTGGTATTAAAACATTAAAGTTTGTCTGCATTCTGGCAAAGATTGCCTTAGTCGTATTAGTCACAACCTATCGGTATTTTCAGATTTGAATGTCCTTCAACTTTGTTTTCGATTTGGCCGATACCAATATAAGTGAAAATAACCGCGAAAATTTCTACGTTCACAGATAAATTTGGAAAGGTGGACAATAGGAAACAATGTTTTTAATTGTCATTTAACCTTATGCTATGAACTGTTATAAGTATGAACTAAGATCTTATTTCTTAACGTCGGCGATACATCATAAAAATGCTACCGTATGAATTCTAACACATCGCTGTGTGCAAATTAATGGTAGGGTAACGGATTTCAGGTCTATTGCTATGCCTTTTGTTATTTTCTAAATGCAAAACTTCGATAATGGTCTTCATTCGGATTAAAGATGTCCTTCAGCTATCAATTGGAAATAATTGCCATCAACCTAGGATGAAAATGACTCTGTGTAAGTTCGTGTGTCTATGTATTTATGGTAATTTTCCAGTCTACCAACGACTTATACAGATAACTGATGGATAAAAACCAGACTTTTGAGACATCTTATATCTCTTACAGGAAACAAAATTCGCTTCTTGTACCAGACTTCTTGATATTTAAGGGAGATTTTGATTACAAGATTTATTTTAGTGACAGTAAAAAGAAGATAGAATTTGAAAGTACGTACAAGAAATTATTAATATACAGATTCTTCTATAATAGTTTATTTATATGAATACGAATTCCTGGAATGTACAATTTCAACCAGTTTTATCAGTAACAAAGGATTAAACGCAAATCATTACAATAAGTCTCTTCAGTGATGCTATAGGTCAAAATATTTAAACATCCAAAATCTCATACATTATAAAGCTCAACAAAGATTACAGGCTTATCATAACAAACGAAAAAGACTAAAAGTATTGCCAAACCCGAACAAAAAATCAAAACTTTATGGAATATACCTTTTTCTTAATTCAAAATGATAAAATTTAAAAAATAAAGAAAACAAAACCCCAACACAATATCCATATTGAGCTGGTGGTCCCCATGTCCAGCGGCAGAGGTACCGACCCTGTAATAAAATTAACGGTAACAGCACCGGATGTGCATTTTTTTTGCTTAATAATTGTATACTATGTATAATTTATTATTAACAGCTCGCGAGGTCTTTCATACCAATATACGTTTATTTAAATCACTGCATTTATACCCATTGATATAACTTGTCATTTATAATTTGATATATAAAAAGCAGTGTTATCTAACGTGTTCTCTGTCATCAGTAATTGTTTATCTGCCTCTATCAATCATTCATTTTCCTGTATGATTAATTAATCAATACGTCAAAATGTATCTACTGCAAATGATAGGTTGTAATATTGCATAACATCCTTTTGTCCGCAGACAGAGTAGACATTTAATTAAGGTCAACGCTGGTTAACTCATTTCTGATAAGCATATTGGTTGTTCTGTTATTGCACGGGTGTCATTCGGTATATCGAGAAAAATGATCGCAAAAGAATAACTAACGGTGGCCAAGCATTGCATTAGAATCGTGAAAGATCTGGTATCGGATCGTGAATGCAATTAAATAAAGTGTAATTCTACTTCAAAATCTGTGAAAAATCTGCTGTATTTTCAAAAGGTAGAACAAATTAGAAAAAAAGAAATATGTCTGTCAAAATGACTCATCTTCGTTAATAATTTTGTGCACTACGTTAAAGAAAACATGATGTACTTTTTAAGAAAACACAAAAGGCGACACACAATCCTATGAGAATCATTAAGAAAAAAATCACGTGGTCACATTCCAATATATCATGATATATTTGAAATTTAATCTTTTGTGTGTCAGATATTCCAGTGAAAAAAAAAACTATGTTATTACTTGAAAAAGTTCATAATATTTTTGAAAAAAGTAAATTTGTGTTTATTTTCAATCAAAATTGATTGTGAAAGATCAGGCAACGAATTATTTTGATCGTGAAAGACAAGGCGTGACCAGACTGAATGACCAGACTTTATGGAGAACACTTCATAAGTATGATTTAATTGTGTCTCACCCATTTTGGTAAGGATTAGCAAATACAATATGTTTAAACTGAACTGAATGATCTGAAAACAACATTTTGACTAATTGATATACATGTAATTGGTTGAAGAGTGTAATTACATACTAAGATCGTAAATTAATACTTTCATTTTTTTGGTAGTATATATACATTATACATATAGACCTGTTTTCATTTAAGAGACAGGGCTAACTAGAAATCCAGGATAAAAAGACCTCAAGGAGCGTTAGTTAATTGTCGAAAAGTAAATTTTTTTTTATAATGCTAAACGTATCCACGAATGAGTGAAGCGAGAGGGGGTCTGGCGGTCTACCCCTGGAAATATCTTAATGTGTACGTTTTTGTTTTCGTAAGGGTTTAACTTGGACCAAAGAAGCTATATCATTTAACTTTACATAAAGGTATATTGAAGATGTTCTTTCCCTTAGGAATATAAACTTTTCTGGTTGGATCCCATTAATAGTCCTGAACTAGAGATTACAGACACCACATATGCAGCTTCCTCGGCCTCATTTTTAGACATATACCCTGAATTTGACTACAGCGGTCACCTCAATACTAGAGTCTATGAAATCCGAGATGATTTCAATTTTGATATTATAAATTGTCCTTATCTTAACAGCAATTTATCAAATTGATCCGCGTATGGAGTATATATACATTTCATCTTCAGTGTCTGCGCAAAAATTAGTAAGACATGGTTTTGTGAAAGAATGTTTTGTCCTTTTTCTAAAAATGTTTATTGGAAAATATCAAGACCTAATAGATAAATATACAGGTTCTACTTTGAAAATAGTACAGGATGGTTTTGAGTTATAGATTCTAGGTGCTGACTCTGTGTAGAGATTTTATCTACTTTACAGTTTTACCTTTATTATTGTGTTCCATTTGGACGTATGAGTCTTGACGTGATTCGGTATATGTACATCCAGCTTTCAGGTTTTTGTATTTTATCTGGAAAGTGTATATGTAATTTTGCTTTATTATACTGACTGTATTATCAACCACAAAAACCTTTTGTGTTGGCGTCTTTGTTTGATTTAATTGTAAGTATATATGAATGTTTAATTCAGTTGTATTGTATGTCTGCTATGCATGTTTACACAGCTTTGGCTTCTGGGTCCCAAATATGGCCAAGTTTACCAATTATGTCGGTTTTGGTTGCTCATCCAATTTGTCACGAAACATTAAACAACTGTCAGGCAATTGGGCGCTTTTGCTAGCTAGAAGACCAGGTCTAATCCACCAATTTCTTAGGAAAATGCCTGTGCGAAGTCAGGAAGATGACAGTTGCATTCCCTGCGTTTTTTTTCAATTTATACAAAAATTAACAAGGATCTTTGTTTTATAGATATTACTGTGCATACAAATTAATAAAATCAGATAAGACAATCTTAACTTGTCATACGACATAAAACTTATGCAGGACGGACAGACGGACTTATATTGCCATAAAGCAACTAATCGATTCCTCCACTCTACCAATTAATCAGATCTAATGGCATTTAACTATCATAGCCCCGCAAATAAGCGGAATAAGTCATGCAAATCTTTTGCTATAACAATTACAAATCTACGTTATGTTTAAATAAGGTAAGGAAATAAGGTATTAAAAGCATAATGCACCAATCAGCTCAAAATTCCTCCACTCTAGCATGTCTAGAGAACATGGTGTTTCAAAATAAGTGTATTAAAATCAAACTGTACTTTAAAAGCAGAACATGACAAGTCGTTTGCTATTCCCTCCGTTTTTGTTTTGTTACCTTGATTTGTCTCTTCTTCGTCGATTTGCGAGATTATAAAATCTGTCGCCTTGATTTTATACGTTATTTTGATTTTTGGAATATGTGACTTACTCAGTTTTGAAGGTTATTTGTTTTTTATGATTTCAATGGCGGATTTTGGATTAACTTTCAATTGGTATGTTCACAAAAAATCGTGGAGATACCTAAAACGACTGATTTATGTCGATTTTATGTGCAACACTTCTCCACCAAAACAACAATTAGAAAACTCAAAGACACAAAACAGAAGACCCCCCCCCCATCCCACTAAAAAAAACCAACAAAGAAAAAACAAATCGACAATCACCATATCATTTGCATTGCATGACCGGATGTGCAAAATATGTCTTACAGCGTACAATGTATTAATACTGTAGAATAAATATGATGATAATATGATTAGTTGAGGCCACTGATATATACTGCATGCAGGTATAATTGTCTTTTCGGTCAAATAAACGATATGTGCACTTTATTTTGGTAATATTACCCATTAGTGAAATGCTTAGTTAAATGATGCAGATCATATATAACATCTGTTAAACCCTCATATTGATCCTGAAATTGCAAAAAAAAAGTTTTTAATCCTTTCACTATTATGATTTATGGTATAGTCTGGTAATTTCAGTGCAGTAATGTCGTTAGTGATGTCACCATGACATCACATGAAAGTCCTTATCGACATTCTTGACCAAGTTTTCATATGGTTTTTGCCTCAATTAAATATGAATAAGATCATTATATAATTAAATGAGTTACCGTCTTTATTCTATTATTGTACCATTTTAGAATTAATGCTAATAATCATGAATAATAGACCCAGGCATGTATCTAAAATCAGTGAGAATTTTTTTTTTCGTCGGCTCATATACTGCCGATGAATTACACGGGATAACAAATCGAAAATGCTTTTTCTGTTGATTCATATTTGATGATATTTAATTTGTTTTATTGTAAATGTGTGACATTTTTTACTTTTTACAGGGTACGCAAGCCATGTACACAGACATGATGATCACGTGATATTGGTTTATTGTGTAGAGATGAGCGAAGTTCTTACATCGTCGGACTGGTATCATTGTATGTATTTTACACCTAACATTTAGGATATAGCAAAGTGCACTCGACCAATGAAATGGTAGGATTTTGTGTTTCTTAATTGTGAAGAATGAATAAAATCATATTCTTAGTAAGGGATTATCCTATTGTATAGGTCTACTTACAGTTCGAAACAAAGAGTTTCTATAAATGAGTTACAACTACCCTGAAGCACATTTATCTGCTTGAAAGAATTTGTGATTGAAACTGACTAAAAGTTGAATTTTGAAACAAACAAAAAAATCAAAATAAGATGAAGTTTACTGGTGCAATGACATTGGTACCGTCAACATTATTATGAGAATATCAATAACTTCAAATTGTTAAAAGAAATATAAACAATATCAAATCAATGCAAAAAAAAAAAAAAAAAAGAAAAAAAAGTTTTAAAATTAAATAAAACCTAAATCTTAAGCTTATATTCTTTCAAAAACTCAGATTACTGGTTTGGTGAAAATAGTAATTTCCAAAATTCGGATAAAATTAAAAAAAAAAGAATTTTGTTTAACTTTTGAATTTATTTCAAACATTAAAGGCATTGTATTCGAACATTTTCCTGACACAATGAGGTAGTATTTGATGTAAAGGGCTGGACTAAAATATTAGCTGTAAAACAAAATGTAGTTGTAACTCAACTCAATTTATTGATTTGAACTGTAAATAAAAAAAAAAGATAATTCCTCGCTTAAATATTGCATGATTTACATTCATACTCACAATCAGGAAACATTTCTTATCATTTCATTGTACTGTTTTGTCATCTACTGTCTAAAACACAAGCTATTTCATTTTCCAAAATTATAAGAAAGTCCTTACATCACTAAAACTAATTCATAAATGAAAGGCCTAAAAGGAAGTCATGCATGCTAATACTAACAATGAACACTGCCCTTTCCTGGATCTTAATATCTATATCGTTAACGGGAAGTTTAATACCAAAATGTACGATAAAAGATATAATTTTTCATTTCCTATTGTTTATTATTCATTTTTAGATGGTGACATTCCCTTATCACCATCTTATGGTTTTTATGTATCTCAACTTGTTCAATTTGATCGTTTATGTAACAACGTATTTGATTTTAACGAAACAAATCTCTGTATTACTGAAGAATTATTAAACCAGGATTTTCGATATCACAAACTTGTCAAAACATTTACTACAATTTATCACCGGTACAAGGACATCGTTCGTAAATATAAATCAACGTGCAGACATCTTAAACGTTTAGGTATTTCACATCCAATCTTTTATGGTAATATTCTAAACAAAGCACAAAAATGTCGTCATTCATCTCAAAAGCTAACCAAACCTTTAAACAGACTCATTCAGAAAGGATATAGTTACGATACTGTTGTCAGGTCATTAAAGATGTCATTTTTTTGCATTAATATTGATTCACTCGTAGGGTCTTTGCATCGGAAATAAACATATTTATTTTAAAACCCGTTGTTGGTATGCTACGGGTTATGTTCTTCTCGTATATTTTATGATGGCATGATACTTAATCCCTAACGGGAGGGATTGTGCTTGATTTTCATGTGATGAAGACATAATTTTTCAATCTGTTTAATTGAGGTCTGGAGCTGGCATGTCAGTAACTGCTAGTAGTCCTTTGTTAATTTATGTATCATTGTCATTTTGCTAAGATTCTTCTGTTACCTATTCTAACATCGGACTCGGACTTTTTCTAAACTGAGTTTTACTGTGCGTATTGCTGTGCGTTTGTTTATTCTACATTGGCTAGAGATATAGTGGAGGGTTGAGATCTCACATAACTTGTTTAACCCCGCCGCATTTTTGCGTCTTGTCCCAAGTCAGGAGCCTCTGACCTTTGTTAGTCTTGTATGTTTTTTTTAATTTTAGTTCATTTATATGTTTCGGAGTTTAGTGTGACGTCCATTTTCTCTGAACTAATACACATTTTTTTTGTTTAGGGGCCAGCTGAAGCCTGCCTCCGGGTGCAGGATTTTCCCGCTGTGTTGAAGACCCATTGGTGGCCTTGTGCTGTTTTCACTCTGACACATTCCCCATTTCCATTCTTAATTTTTTTAATTACAAACATGGAACTGACAATGAAAATTATTCTTGAATACAACCAATCAAGAGATCATTTGAACCTTGATCACTTAACAATATTCTAAGTTTGTAAAAGAATGATAATCCCTTTCTTCGTGATGAGTACTCGCTAACGCTCGTACTTAAATATGAAGAAAGGGATTATCATTATCTTACATATATAAAGATCTTCGATATTTATTGGGTGAATGTATTTTTTATTCATTTTCCTTTTTAAGATAGAATGTGTTCATATTTTACCATCGTCTTGGTACATGTATATCCGCTAAAATGTTAAGCTTAAATACACACATTCTATTGATATTCTGTGTAATTAAACAGATAAATAAAGTTCAGGATGGATAGTTGCTTGGCGGTTTAGGAAATTTAATCTGCCCTTGACTGGTATTTGTCGGTAATAACTCCTGAAAATGATATATATGCTCAAAGTCACATTGTGACTTAACATTGTTGCATCCTCATCCTTTTCCTTTGGTATTTAGTGAATAGTTGTCTCATTGGCAAATCTCATAATTTCATGGTGATGCTGATCGAGTGCATGGATTTGCTTTAATAAATATTCCAAACTTCTTTGACGAGCTTTCTTAGATACATCGATAAGTATATTAGATTTACTAAAAAAAAGGTAGGTGCTCATCGACACAACAATCTTTCTGATATATTGATTCGGCCGACACAACTTTGCTGTTGTTTTAAAAATGACCATGCTTGATTTTTTCCTATAAGTTATAATTAATCATTTTGATTTCCCAGTAGTATGCAACCCTTTCTACCAAATAAATTGAAATTGACGGTTGTTTATTAGAGTACATTTCCAAATCTTTCTCTCACTTACTGATACTGATGTATCTAAATTGTTGTTTTCTAATAATGTAGAGACATGTGATGTCAGGAACATAATTATTATCTTTAATGAGTTAACTGGTAAGGGTACAAGTCAAAACTTAACCCATTTCAATAACGGAAATTAATTTACAAAGTGTACATACATATGATTAAAAAACATTCTTTTGGTACAATTTGTATACTACACATCGTCTTGCAAGTTACATCAAACTCTTACTGTGTAATACTAGATCAAGTGAAACATAAGAATTATCATCTCATATAACTAATGTTACCATTGATAAATTTGTTTTATCTGTTACAAGCCATCCAAGACCACTACAGCAAGGGCAGATAGTTATACAGAATTTGAAAGAACAATTTGTTTTATTATTATTTTTCAGGAAAATAAGTCGCGTTACCCCCTGTTTTTATTTGATGTTTCTGAAGTATTTATGAAAAGCAATTATCTCATTGAATGTTAACCAATTCTATCGTTTAAAGTTTCCTCAAAAAGGAAAAATTAAATTTCCCCATATAAACAGTAACCCATATACAATAACCATGATTTCGTAAATTTCAATGTATTTTTTAACGAAAAAACAAGGCCTGTAACCCCCAATTTGTATATTTGAACTTGAAAGTACATCGACATAGAAGTCTATTACAGAAGTTTAAGAAAAATCGATCGTCGAACATTTAGACACCCCAGCTACCTTAAGTGTAAGAAATAGATTATTCCAAGATTTGTACAACACCGGATAACTTTCAAAATGAATTAAGTGTAAAGTAACCTTCTTGATCCAAACAACAACATGAAAAATCATCGCAAAATAGAGTGATGCCGCGTGTACTAAAAATATCACCATTTCCTTGCAAACGACATCCGTCGCATAGTATATTGATAAATATTTGTAATTATAGTTATACAGAATGACGTTTCTCGGCAACCGTTTTGACCCTTTGAACACATATTTGTTTCATGTGAAGGATATTTAGCAACTAGAATTTCACACTGAGGACCTAACAAAATATTTTAAACCTCTTTTTTATATTCTCTCAATTTCCAAATTAAATGGACTATTTTGTGATGTTTAAAAATGTCAGTTTAATCATGAATACATGTATATTTATTTTTATGTAAAAAATTCTGCATTTTAATGAATATAAGTATATTGTTATTCATGAGACTATATGCCATTTTATTTTCTAGCTCCTAACCCTGGTGACGTAGATGCGTTCAAAACAATCCTAGATCATGAGGTTAAAAAGGTCCAAAGTCGGTTGGAAGAATTTGGAGAATTGCTGAAGAGGTTAAAGGTAAAACTGATTCAGTAATAATCTATATGTAAAATGTACATGTTTTGTTTGCTTTGTTAAATTGTTTGTAGGGCAAATGTTTTTTTTTCGAACCTACTATAATCATAATTATGTATAATGTATTAAAAAAAATTCTGGACTGAAAAGAAAACTTATAAGCCGCTGGAGAAATCATAGATAACATATTCATATTAAAAATCTTCAGTAAAGCTGTCAAAAAGCTACAATCTGAAGATATATAAATGTGATCACTAAAATAAAGAATTTAAGACAATATACTAGTTAGATACATTATCACATAAATTTCAAAATACAGCATTCAATTCCAAATTAGATAAAAGGAATATGAGTTATTTCAAACAGACGGCAGTTCGAAATTTACATACAGCGCTGATTCAGAAATCAAAAAGCCTTTTGCATCACATTTGAATCTTTTTCATCGATCATTGTTTGCGTTTCTAAATAGAAATACAAAAAGCGCCGATAGATACGATGTTTATCAATGCAATATAACAGAATCGGGGAAAGTGATTGTTTTGTTTTAAGGGCACGTTTTTTAATTGTTAAGATTTTATCCGAAATCATATTGGAATCACAATGAATATACCGTTGAGAGTTCAATGTCCAATTTAAAAATCTACATTACTAGAAGGCTAACTCACACTTAGATGGAATATATGTCTCTTTTCCTCTGCGATCACTGTTTGGTAGTTGCTTTGTGAACAAAGTTAAATCGAGTTAATAAAAATATTACAATTGATAACGTACAGCAGAATCGACTTGGTTCAATGGAACCGCATGTTAAACTGCAACAACGGGCTGATCTGTATGAAAGAAATCATAATTGAGTCCATATTTTATGGATTGATAACTTAAAAAATGTATGGTTCCCGTATGCAGAGTCCGCAAATTGGTAATAGGCAGGGTTAAATAAAATATTTTAAAATTAGAAACGGCCGGGTCAAACCAAAGACCTTTGGAATGGAATTTACAGCTTTAGAAGCAAAATATTGGAATTTTTGTGCTTTGAATCAGAATAATGTGTGTGGGTAGGGTAACACGAATTACTGCGAACGATTACTTTGTGCGCATAGACTTTGTAAACCCAAATAAGAAAAGCATCAAAGGAAGGGCTCTTTATTATGCATCAATATTTTGTTGGCCTTTATATACATGTGATATTTTCAAAGAATGTTTAAAAGAATCTTAACATTTGGAAAACCACACATTGTTACGTGTAATAGCAGGGACATTTGGTAAATCTATTCATAATATCTAAAACCGTGTCAACCCAAATTTGCCCGAAAGACAACCTGCATGTTAGATCTATTAATATTACGAAATCATATATATAAACAACAGTCAAACCGTGTTATTTAAATGATGACAATAGGACGACACAACAGCACTTGCTTCTGACCTGATAGTCTCCTTTCAATGAAAGACATCACATACGATAACTGTCCAAAGAAAGTAAATAAATGTCTGTGTATGTGTCATTTACTCTTAAAATATACATACGCTCGACAACAAAAATTACACGAGGGAGATAAATTAAAATCTGTTCAGAGTATCAGAACCAAAAGGATCTAAATATAATAGAAACCTCCATCTATATAATAGGTCAATTCTAAATGTCAAAATTACATATCAAAGTATATAATTTAAGACAACATAGAAATGCAGTTTCCCATCAATATTTCAGCTTAATGGAGTTGTGAAGAGTGCACAAGCCCCAAAACCTGGAGAAGGAATCATCCGTGTTGCTAAAGAAGAAGATGCTTCTCTGATCGTTACTGGAACAAGAGGTCTTGGTAAAATACGAAGAACATTATTAGGGAGTGTCAGTGATTATCTAGTTCACCATTCTACTGTCCCTGTACTCGTTTGCAGATTCAAAGAAAAGAAATAGAAACCAAATACAATTAACCTTTACTTTATTTGATAAAGAATAAAACATTTTCAATCTTCCTATCATGTATTAAGAGTTTGGAAGTTTTATAGATTTCATGTAAAGCAAGTAAAGCATATACATTTCATTGTTACGTTCATATTGGAATGCCGATCCGTTACACACTAGATCCAGTGTTAAGCTACAATATTTATTCCACAACTGTATGCAAGGATAATGGTATGATAAACTATAACAGTTTTGTAATCAAATAATTGAGAGGCAAAAGACACCAAAAGAATATTCACACTGAATAAGTCGAAATTAAACTGACAATACCATGGCAAAAAAAAAAAAAAAACCAGTATACAAAGCACAACATAGAAAACTAAAGACTAGGCAACACGAACCCAACCAAATACCAGGAGTGATATCAGGAATTCCGGAAGGATGGGCAGATCCTGCTCCAAATGTGACAGTCGTCGTATTGCTCATGTAAGTACAAACCATGTGATACGTCTAATTCGGTAGGTCAAATTCGAGGAAAAAAGGATGGGATTTAGGTTACGACAATTGGAAATTATCCGTCGTCAACCAACTCATGCTGGCGTCCTTACATGAATGATTTTATGAATGATTGTCAATGAGACAACTTTTGACCAGAAACCGAAGGACGTGGATGTAAGCACTTATGGGTCACCGTTCGGTCTTTATCAATTAGCAAGCCATACAATAAACATGGTAAAGTAACTCATAAAAAGGCCATCGAAGAAAAAATAAAGAACGAGAAAACATACGGTGTGATTTCAGTTTTGAACCCTGATGTCACTATAGTTGTGTCATTAAGAAGCCGTTATAAGCTAGATAAAACATTTGTCATCATTTTGTTATATTTTGTTTTTCAATAGTGTTGTACCATTAAACTAATATGCGTTCAGTGTACGTGTATGTCTTTCCTTTTTAAATACACTTCTACTAGCGCTTTCATTAATCTTCTTCATGTGTGTGTCAAAATCCAAGTAAGTCAAATCTTATATCTGAATCATATGTTCAAAACCTGGATCGAAAGGTTAACCTATATAGTTTGTACAGATAGACAACTCTACGTTTTTGTTTTGCTAAAAGAGTATGCGAAAGACAAAAGATGAATAGACAAAGACACCATAAAAGATTTCAATCCGATCAACTTTTGATTGAAAGAAATAATATGTCTAGCTGAAAGTATAGGAATTAAAAATGAAAATAACACTTAGTAAACTTTGTGCGTCCGATGTGCTTTCTGGATTTATCTTTATTTGGAATGCTCAAAGGAGCGCTTTTCTGTATTTACCTTTACCAGGAACTCTCAAAGCCAAATATTTGTAAGCGATTGATGGTTGATTATCGAAACACATGAAAAGCTTTATGACCAAAAGAGTCACCATTTGTTCAGATTTTTGTAAGAGATATTGTGCTTGGTGATACCAAAGTACATACAGTTACTCATCAACATTAGAAAACCATATAACATTTTAAACACCATTTTTTAATACTTGGATAGTTGTTTTTTGTTTTTTTGTTGTTGTGATTTAGTATGATTAAAAAAAGATTATAAGGCCTACCTGAGTTAGCTTTTTCGCAGCGTCAACACGGCAATGTTCTAACATTGTACTTCAACAAATAATTGGTATACATGTACATTAGGTCACAACTTAACTTTTGTATTTTGAACGACGCTGGTTTATGTACATGTATTTGTTCGTTTTGTTGAAATAGCGAAACATTGGTTCTCGAAATATGTTTTAAACTAAACTCACAATTGGTTAACCTCTTGTGTATTCTTTACAAATAATGCACGTTTCAGGATTTATAAGTGTCCTCATCTAAAAAAAATTATTTTATAAAAGTTATATTGAATATCCGGCAAGACTTTAACCTCTTGATGTCGTTCTAGGTTACCATTGTACTTATACAGTCCTTTCATTGTTGAAACGGGTGTGATAATTACCAATTAAAAATACTGCTATTATTTCGATTTTCACAGGACTAAAAAGAAAAAAAAAAACATTAGGGAGATGAAGAATTTTAAAAAACACACATTATTCTACCTTAGACTAGTCATTCTATTATTGAAGATCGAATGTTGTCTGCTTTATTTTTTTCCCCTTTTCTAATGTGTTGATATGTTTTTGTTCATGTCATATATAAGACCTTTCCTTTAAGCTACACGTATTGAGCAATGCAAACATCGAAACATTGATTATTGGTCGAATGATACGACATGGGACTTACAGTTAGAATCGATCCACTTTTCAATAAAAAGTAAAACATGCGGTATTTGCTGTGTTCGTTGCCTATTTTTACCTTCATTATCATCGGGTAAGCTAACACTTAAACTTAAGCAACCAAACATAAGGAACGAGATGAACTACAAATTTTATGGGGACCTGACATCAGAATGCATGTCTGTAAAGAAACGCAATATTAATTTAACATGAAATCTGCTTGAGGGAATTGCAATCTTCGATTTTTTTGTTTAACAAAGGTTAATTCATAAAAACACTTCAGACGCACCAAAGTTATGAAGTGATATTTTCATTATCGCATAAGAATTTAGTAAACAGAACACAAGGTGGAGGAAAACTCTAATGAAACTTTTTTTAATTTTTCAATGCCTATCCTTATAACAAAACATTCTTTGTCATAAACAACAATCTATCTAAAAAAAAACCCTGTTCATTGTATTATTTAACAAAAAATCTTGTCTTCAACTTTACTTTAAGATACTAATATACATTACTTAATGTACTATTTGACTCCATAATCTACATCTGAAAGCATTAACTTTATCATTTAAGATGAATCATCACTATATATTTCCTTATATACTTTGCAAAAATGATTTTACCATGCTTTTAAAGCCACAAAGCTTCAAATAATATTGTCTCTGTATGTAGATCGTACTACTACGAGTGTCTTAAATGAATTAGGAATAAATTCAGGTAATCCCACATACAAAAACATATCATTTGACAAGGATGAGATTTTGGCGAATCATAAGTCCTTCAAGACAATGAACATTATCTTGAACAGCAAATGTGAGGACTTACCTTGTTTGTATTGGATACCTAAGCTTCACAAAATTCCGTACAAACAACGGTACATTGCCGGCTCATCTGCATGTTCTACAAAGAAATTGTCCATTAGATTGACAAAAAATCTGTCCGCAGTGAAAGAGGGTCTTCAGAAATACTGTAAAACTGTTTACTCGCGTAGTGGTATTAACCATATGTGGATTCTTAAAAACTATAAAGAACTTCTGGATAATTTTAAATCTCGATCTTTCTCTTAAATCAACTCTACCAAAACTTTTGATTTTTCAATCCTGTATACCACCATTCCCCATGTGAAATTGAAAAATTGTCTACTCAATGCTTTTCAATATAAAAAATGGTAGCATACGCTATAAATTCATTACTTTGGGATACCATACGGCATATTTGGTTAATAATGAACAAAAAGGTAAAACATGCTACACAGAGGAACAAGTGATCAGTATGCTGGAGTATCTTATTGACAACATATTTGTTGAATTTGGATGTAGACTTTTTCAACAAATTGTCGGCATTCCTATGGGGACGAACTGTGCGCCTCCCTTTGCCGACCTCTTCTTATTTTCATATGAGTCGAAGGTCCTTCAGACACTTGTCAAAAACAAGAAGATCAAAGAAGCCAGATCATTTAATTTCACCATCAGATATATTGATGATGTTCTTTCCATTAACAATCCAAACTTTTTGGGTTCCGTTAATATATCCTCCAGAACTAGAAATTACAACAGACACGGCTTCCTCCGCCTCATTTTAGACTTTTACCTCGAATTTGACATAAGCGGTCATCTAAGTACCAGAATCTATGACAAACGAGACGATTTTAATTTTGAAATTATCAATTTCCCCACCTTAGTAGCAATATACCAACTGCATATGGGATATACATTTCCCAACTCATTCGGTATTCAATAGCTTGCAGCTGCTACTCAGACTTTATAAAACGTCTCCAGTGTCTGAGCAGAAAGTTGATGAACCAGAGTTATGTCAAAGAACGTCTCGTCCTTTTTCTAAAAAAGTTCATCGGAAGATACCAAGATCTTGTTGATGACTATTCCGTATCCACTTCACAAATAATACATGATGATCTTGAAGTATAGTTTCTAGGTACTGACGTTGTTTATCATCTTAATTTTAAATTATTAACCTTTACTGTAAGTTCATTTTTGGTAATATCCTTTTGGTGTGGCTCGCTACTTATACATCCCGCCATTGAGTTATTGTGCTATGATCTTTTTTGTATTCTCGTCTTTCATTTTTGCTTATGTGCTTTGTCTATATGCCATTCTGTTTGTCTTTGTTGACATATTTGTTTGTTTTTAAAGTGATTACAATGTTAACTGCTATACCCCTATTTTTGACATTTTACCTATTCTGTCCGTTTGTTTTGTTCACACGTTGTTGTCATTATAATGGAATTTTATGCGACTGTCATACAAGTGAGAGGTTTAGCTAGCTACAAAACCAGGTTTAATCCACCATTTTCTACTTAAGAAAATGCCTGTATCAAGTCAGGAATATGACAGTTGTTTTCCATTTGTTTGATGTGTTTAGGCTTTTGATTTTGCCATTTGATAAGAGACTTTCCGTTTTGAATTTTCCTTGGAGTTCAGAATTTTTGTTATTTTACTTTTTATTTTACAAAATATAATAAAATGTATAGGCCACCGTGCGATTTTTCAAGATACTAGTGTTGCAAAACTTCCCAATTTTGTATATATTATTCATGAAAAAAATCATTTTTTGGGAATGGAAAGAAATCTATGTGATAAAATTCTGAAATAAAACATGCGAAGATAGGTTTTATAAAAATTCTCTAAGAAAATAATATGAAAGAATGGTATCACCGAACTTGTTTTCTTGCTACAAGTAAACATATGAAAATTTCATTAACGTTGAATATCCTTTATACAAATGTTTACTATAAGAGTTATCTCCCCTTAAACGGCTAGTTGAAAATATTAATCGAACTCAAATAAATATTTGGTATTTGTAAGAACAGTATGAATAATGTAATAAATCACTTATTTTTCTATTTTTAAATAAAGTCTTACAAATGAATTGCCAATCTGTCTCAAAACTTGCGGTTTTAATTAAACATGTAAAAGAACTAGACTGATTGTGTACTGCTATGTCACCATCAAAGATGGCGGTATACAGTGAATCTACCTTTAATTTATATATTCAAAATAGGAAAAAATATCTTATTATACAGTAACACTACTACTACTAATAATTATTAAGAGTAATTCACATCTATATTAATAAATGATAAAAAGAAACGATTGACATAATTATAGTATAACTCTTATTTTTCTCACGATTAAGCAAGTTATTCATGTCAATCATAACTATTAAAACAGTGTTGGAATTTTGCTATGTATTCCTGGGAAAAAGAAGAACTTTTTTCTGAGATTGGATTTCACCTCAGCAACAGTCATTTCCTTCTTTAGTGTAGATCCTTTTCCAACTAATCTGTTTACCTTTAACAAAAATAAACGTCATTTAGTCCAAAAATATGGATATCAATAAATTGACATAAAAAATTCCGGAACATTTGGTTATACTACTTATATCATGAATTTAATTTATGAGGCAAATAATTGAGTGAATATAATATGGTTGCAGCAATTGTGTTGACTCCATCATAAACACTCAATGATTTGCATCTGTTATAAAATGTTATATTATGTATCACATATTTCTTTACAAACTAAATAAGGGATATTATGTTGCCTATACTTTGTTCATAGTATTTGAAATTTAACGGATTGCTATATTCGAAGGGCACTTAAATTTTGATATAAACTGTTGCATATATATTCCACAAGAACGATAATCCCAAAACCAAATAAGTTCAAGTGACTCATGTCACCATACGATTCGGGTTTTTGTGCGCATGTCACGTGTTTCTAAAAAGGGGGAACTAAACTGGGTATCGGAAACCTTCTGATGTCAATTCTGTCGGAAAGAGTAAAATTCTAATAATCATATGTTTGAGAGATTATCAATTATAACCAATATGTTTGACAACTAGGCAAACCATACCATATGGAAGTAACTGATAAAAGACGTCGTATAGACCAGTAACTAGTCTAATTGAAATGTATCAGTCTACTTTGCAAGTGCAAAATTTGATTTTCTTCATCACACGTGTGTTAAGATGAGGATTGTTTGTACATCTTTTCATACCTTCGCCTCGAAGTGATGCAGATAGCGTCCAACATTTCCTACTACCTAAATCAAGCTAAAGATAGATTTTAATGATTGTTCACATGTACCGTTTAAGAGATGTGCTTCTTACCTATCTTAAATATTTGGTATTTCACTGGTTTGTGGGTGTTGATAAGAGTACCAAAATTTTGTGAAATTTAAGCACAATGTCATGGATCATAAAATACTGGTCAAGTTTTATTTTGACGGTTTAAACATTTGCAGTTCAAGAGTTATGTCCTTTAAGTACCTAAATAATATTTTTTGTTTTTTTTTTTCCAGTTGAAAATGACAAAACCTTTAAACAAAATCTATAACTTTTTCAAACAATGCAAAGGAAAAAAATAATACAACAGGTCATATTCAACTTAAATTTAATCTATTTTTCTACAAGGGGACGTAAAAATAGGTAGAAGATACTCATAAGTCGAGTTAAAGTGACCACGCCATGAGACAAAAACAAAGACGACTAATTGATAAAAAAAAAATATTACAAAACATTAGATAGAAAAGTAAAAATTCAGCAACAAAAATCCCGAAAAAAACTGTGGTTTATCACAGGTGCCCTGGAAGGGTAAGCATATCTTGCTCCACAAGTGTCAACCATCGTGTTATTTATGATTTGTAGGAACTCGGTGAATTGTTTAATTTGAGAATGTCAAAATTGAGGAAATAGGACGAGATTGTGATTATCGCAATTTGACAATAAGAACATGTCCGTGGTCAACTTGATATTTGACTTCGAATGCAAAACGTATGAGAAATACCTAAAATGTTGATGGGTAGTTTTAACATAAATAATAACTGAATATGAACGAACGACAAACCCTAGAATTATTTTAGATCAGCAAATCACAGGCAATAGTAGCTAAAGGATATTCAAATTTTATAAAAACATTTACAATGTACAAATCAAGATAAAAAATCTTAGGTAATCGAATGAACTCCAAAAAGAGGGGGATATATGACATGTAAGCGTCTCCTACAATGCATGATTCATTATTCATGGAAATTCACACTATAGAAGAGGGGCGAAAGATACCAGAGGGACAGTCAAACTCATAGATCGAAAATAAACTGACAACGCCATGGCTAAAAAATAAAAAGACAAACAGACAATTAATAGTACACAAGACACAACATAGAAAACTAAAGACTAAACAACACAAACCCCACCAAATACTGAGGACGATCTCAGGTGCTCCGGATAGTCTATACTTCCCCAAAATGAAGAGATACAATTGGTATTAAACGCCTGTTATGGTATCTTATAATAAAGGACCGTTAAAATATTCTCTGGTAGTTGAGACACAGTCAGATTTGACGGTTATAGTAGTGTAGACTGCATTGTAAAAATATCAAAGGTATTACTATTATCATTTCGGAACAAAAGGAGACTCTGACTGGAAACTAGAATGTTTACGATGAACATCTGGTTGACAACATTTGTTGATAATGTCTCTTGAAAATATTTTTGAAGCGAAATTTTTCTTAAGAAAGAATGAGTAGAAGAATTTTAAAGGGTGTTTTGCTGAACATTTGGACAATCCGGCTGTATTTCGTTCTTCGTAGTGCATGTGATGATTTTATTATATCTAAATGGAAGGCGATTTTCTTTATTCTACTTTATGTTAATAACATAGGAAAGAAGGACAGATTTGTGATTCTGCAGTTGTACATAAGGGAACACAAAAGAACATCTCAGAATTTTGAACACGTGCAAGATGTATGCAATGATATAACAAAAATCGGTGATATCGTTCGTTTCCTATTGCTTAATCTGAATGGTTATGTCCTCACAGGAAATTAATTTTGAAGTTAAATCTTTCGAATTTCTGTTACATCAATTTCCTTTTTGTATACACTAGGGACTATTCAAACTTAATATTGTATTCATATACTCATCAATTGTTGAAAACCGCTGAATTCAAAACGTCGTTTTTTGGTACTACTGATATATCTGATGCTGTCTCATTCCTGTAACCAAATATGTTTTGTTTACATTCTGAAATGTCACCCAAATCATGTTATGGCTGCTCATTTAATTCATAGAAAGTGCTGTTCCATTATATATTTTAACTGGTGGTATTTTCAACCTTAAATACTAGTACACGTTGAACCTACCCTGATTAGTAAATGGTGTAATTCCTCTTCATGTGCATGATATTTGAAAGTCCATACAATGGCATTCATAAACCAGGAACCAACATCATTGTGAAGCCATGCTTTTGTACCTTTACAATAATAATAATCACAATAATAGTAATAGTAATAATAATTATAAAAATATTAATACAACTATTAATACTGTTAATATTAATATTGCATATAATAGCATACATACAAGATGGCAAAATTTATCAATTTAATTGTCAAGTAAAAATCATCAATATCTAAAATGTGATGAAACATTAATTCAGAAAATGCTTTGTCATATCATTGATCAACATTAAAAGAGTATGGCCGAGACTTGCATATCCATGTGCTTGTACTTCAACATGGAACTGTTCAGTTATAATATTTGGTTACTAGTATATGTGTGTTGTCGTACGGGTTGATAACATATCTTGGAAAGATTCTATTAAATTATTTACGACTTTATTGATGTATATGGAGCTGTAAGCTTAGATTAATTGAGAGGTGATTATTGTTAAGGACCATGTGGCGACCTCTGTTTTTGACCTTGTATCATTGTGCGGTCTTATTTACTTGTATCGCATACATAGTTTTTTATTTGAACTAGTCAATGCAAAAAGGTGAAAAACGGAAAATAAACGCAATATTCAAAAGTGTACATACATATTGGTAGCAGACTTGTAATTAATAAAACACGATAACATTTCCTTACATGATTAAGATTTTTTTTGTTTGCATAGAAGGTTCTCTGTTTATGTAATGTTTTTTATTTGAGTCTGCTTGTCCATCAAAAAAGTTCCAAAATGATGAATTAACGTTTCAAAATTTATATTGATTTGTCCTTGTCTTAATAGCTAGTTGACTGTTGTCAACTCATGGAGCAGGATCTGCTTACCCTTCCGGAGCACCTGAGATCACCCCCAGTTGTTGGTGGGGTTCGTGTTGCTCAGTCTTCATCTTTCTATGTTGTCTTTTGTGTACTATTGTTTGTCTGTTTGTCTTTGTCTTTTTTAGCCATGGCGTTGTCAGTTTATTTTCGACTTATGAGTTTGAATGTCCCTCTGGTATCTTTCGCCTCTCTTTTGTCGCCAATATAACAGAGAATATAAGATTCTGGCTTACAAAGTAGAAATCGATGCCATTTGATAGTACTGATGGTTTGAATGCCGAAAAGGATAGTTGAGACAAATAATATTTAACAACTAAATATAACTTATATTTCAATTTTAAAAACACAAGATAAGATCATGTCTGCATTTCCCATTTCGTGTAACTGTTAAACATGTTTTTTTTTAAATGTTTTTACACATAGGTAAAGATGATAACATTGTTGACATTTCTCTCTTAATTTTCATCAACGGTTTTATTTCGGACCAGTATAACATTTTTCCGGATCTTCTCACTTACAACATTCAAAATTTTGAGAAATTTCTGCGTCTTTTTCAGTTTTAATGGGACACATTCGGGACAGATTTAACTAGTTTATAAGTATCAAAATTAATACAAACTTTTCAAAAATATTTTAATGAACTTTAACAATATTTTTCAACAACTCTTGCTGTACTTTTTTGCATAGACAGGCCCCAAAATGATACTAAAACTCCTAATATTTGTGATCACAGGCTTCATGAATGGTTAGAAATGGTAGCAACCAATAATGTAAACGTCCAGGATAGTTAAATTGATATTATCTATACTTAAGTTGAATATAACTTGCCAATTAGTTTCAGAAAATTTCTATATGTGAACAATCATGATTTACTTTTAGGAAAAACTCAGTTGGATGCTGTAGTTTGAATTGATTGGCTGTTTGCGAGATTAGCCAGAATTTTCATTGATGATGAACTTTGGTTTTTCGACAAACTGTTGAATACAGATTTCCAATATCATGATAGTCATTTAAGAACATACGATACAGAAAAGATCCCTTGCTGTTACAAATCCATACAGAAAAAAATATACCGTTGATTTTTTCTTGCATTTTCGATATAACAATCTTGAAATAGTACATAGTCGAATGCAAAAAAAGAAATATGGGTCCATGTGCTCATTTTTAGCTAGAAATAGATACACACATAGTCTTTAAATTGCTTAACACCGAATTCTCTTTTTTTGGCGCTAACTTACGATGCGGTGTATTCTTAATGCAACATCGTCGAGCAGCTTTTCCCGCCGTACATCAAAACGCAATACGAATTACTGTCATATACAAATTTATTCATTATTCTCCGCCATTGCTTGCGTATCGTATGCCCTTAAGCGTTCTTGATGAAGGTTAATATAGAAACCGCATCAGGCAAACACAATTATTCAAGAGTTATTTCATTTTGAGGAACAAACTTGATGGTTATTGTCAACACTGATTTTTTTGGACTAAACAAAAAGTTTGATGACTTTGTTGAAATCGTCTATAACATCAAATTTGAAATAAAAGATACAACAGATACATTTTAAACTGTCTCATATATCTTGACTTACATCCAGAAATTGACAATGAGGGTCGGTTGAAAACAAAATATACGACAACATAGAATATGTTAGCTCTTGCATTATCTATTTTTGATTCCCTTGATAGAGTGGTCGCTTACAAAAAAGCTTTTTAACCAAAAGCTCCAACTCGTGAAGTTGAAGTCATCCATTCGAAAATATTACGGACGCAAGCACGAGTTGGTTGACTGTTATGTAATATCTGTTTCACATATGACGACGGATATCTCTCCATTGCCGTAACTACAATATTGTCTTCTTTCCTCGAATGTGACTTGCCGAACCAGACTTATCACCGGGCTCTTACTACCATGAGCAAAATTACGGGTGCCACATGTGGAGTAGGATCTGTGTATTGTTCTAGCGCATCTGAGATCAACCCTAGTTTTGCATAAAAGGGTATTGCTCTTGTTTTAGTTTTAAGTGCTCTGCTCTGTGCTTTTCAGTGTTTGTGTTGTTTTACCGATTACAATAACAATCTTGGCTATTATTTGTCATAAAAACGTGTTTTATTAAAGTTCAAAACGTATATCAAATAGTTAATAAATTACATGTTTACTCAAGTGTCTGGGTTAGATTAATATTTACATAATCGTCGGTTTACAAACTTGGTAATCTCACATGGTTAGATAAAGGTTAAGTACCAATCTGTTAATGCATAATTGATAATCTCTTGATAAAGCTCATTACCGCATTTCATAGCAGCGGGATTAACTAACCTTTCCGGAAAACCTGCGATCACCCAAGGTTTTTGGTTGATTTCGATTTGCTCAGTCTAGTTTTTCTATGTTGTGTTTTGTATACGGTTATTTATCATTTAGTAATTTTTATACTATTAAATTATTAAGTCATTTCTGACTAATGAGTTTGAATATCTCTTTGATATCTTCCACCTCTGTTTATTGTTTGTCCATATTCGATAATTTCTAGTGATGAAAAATGGTGAAATAATAATTTTTTGCTATCTCATGATTTTTTCAGGATTGCAAAATATGGCAGATACACAAGAAAACTTTTGAATACGTATATGTATATATCTGTCGTATTTAACATAAATTACATTTTGATTTTGAACTACATGTTCATGATGTATGGGTTTGACAATGACAAGATTGTTTTAAACTACTTTGCTGATGAGCGATCCAGTATATTGTCTTGTCTTTATATATTTATTTTTGATTAGGAAGGTTGAAAGATACTTTTCTTTCTAATTTGCAACATTTATAGAAAAAAAATATTGCCGTCAACTGCCTACATATATTAATATAAACAGTTTCACTGAATTAGTCTCATCTAAAAAAAAAAGTAAGATTGCATTTAATTTTATATCATATCCTTCGTTAACTCTACGCTGAAATATGATAAAAGTAAAATCAATTATGAAAGATATATTTCGTAGGCTTCATTGTTTTAGCTAGAGCGTTCCTTACTGATGTAAATTCAGAAAAGCGCTTCGAACGCACTAAATTTTCAAAGCAAAGTTTCATTTTGATTACTGCAATAAAAGAGAGGCGAAATATACCAAAAGTACATAAGTATAAAATAAACTGACAACGCCAAAACGCAAAGAAAAGGACCAAAAGACAAACAATAGTATACAAAACACCACATGCAAACCTAAAGACTGAGCAACAATAACCTGACCAAAAACCGGGGGTGATCTCAGGTTCTCCGGAAGGGTTACGAACTTTCTTTTATTCTTTGTCCTGATATTTTATGTGGCTCGTTTTAAATATGAAAGTGTCATGATTATAAATTCAGTCTTAAGTAGTGATTTGGAGATATTTACAGCATGTACAGTGTTCATTAAAAAAATAAAAATCAGTATATAAAACAATATGTTGACGGGATGTTTGAAGAAAACGATTTTCGTTTTAGTATCTCCGAAATAAAACTGCCGCATAACCATTTGTTCTTCTTTGATTTGTTACCGCATATTTGTTATTAATAAACTCATATTTGATACCAGGCTTTTATACCTTGGTATAAAATAGATATTCTAATTCTTAAATGGGATTCAAAGAAAGGCAACAAAACTCATTAAGGATATGAAACATTTAAGTTACGATGATAGATTACGTTCATTGGGATTACCAATGTTGGAATATCATCGAGACAGAAATTAAATGATTCAAGTTTATAAAGTTAAATATGGTATTGATAATATAAACTGGATGAATCTTTTCACTTTAGCACCATCTAATACAACTAGAGGTCACTCTTCAAAACTTTTGTAAAATACATTGCAGGACGACACATACATTCAATACCTTTTTTCAATAAGATTAGTGGATAAGTGGATAGACCTGTCACATTTAACAGTGACGGCAAGGTCTGTAAATGCTTTTAAATGATCTTTAAATGATGAGAAAGGATTCCTTATAAGTTTATGATTTCATTTCAATTACGCACATCTACATAAGTGTTTATTCTTTATAAATATAATATACTAATACCATAACGCGAGGTGAAATTCTCACTTGGACATTTCCAAGATAAAGAATTTGTTTGGTCCCAAAGAGAAAGGTACAAAGGTATAACAACAATAACAAGATTGAACAATAGATTTGCAATGAAGTTCACAAATTACTTAAATCGTTAATTTTTTAAATTTATTGACAAATATACATCAGGATCGTAATTAAAACCCTAATCTATAATGTCGGTTATAAATGATATTTTCATACTCAAGTTTAAATTGTTTTCAACGGTCATATCTATTGAAAATGTTATGTCAAAATGTATTTTACACTTTTGTGTCATTTTTGATACTAAAACAAAACTTTCAAAGTGCCCACAATTTTGTTTATGTTCACGAAAATTCAATCATGTTTTGCTGAATTCATTTGAAAAACAAATCGCAATCAAATGGCACCCTAAGTTTCTTTGTCTTCTTTTATAACTTCATCCAAGACAATTGTGACAGACATTTCCTTTCAGAATCATACATATACTGGACTAATGCAGTGGCAGTGAAAAACAAAGAAAAAACAAGACGCATGATCATGATATGTCCTTTGCTCCAATTTGCGAATCACATCGCATAGTAAGAGCTGATATATGTCATGTATAGGTTTTAATCAAAGACAGGCACGCATATATCAACTGATATTTTTATTTGAAACAAATATATTTAAAAGATTGATCTGATAAACATTACTCAAGTGGAAAAATAAAAACTGTCTGCTTAAGGTGAATGCCGATATTCTATTTCATCATTAAAAACTATTTTAAAATAAAAAAAAAAACATCAGCTAAGAAAAACAGACACATAACCACATAACAGATCTTAAATATATAGTTATTACCTTCCGGCGTAGCATATGCTATTAAGAAATCTGCTGATGGGTGATCAGGAAATGTACATTTGGGTGATCTATTCTCCTTGACCTCAAGTTTCGAGGGTTCTGCATCCATTTCATCGCGTGGTTCTGTCGTCATTTTTTGAAATTTTTCTGTTACGTCACTCTTGTCGTCTAGTTTTTTTTATATATAAAAAAAAATCAATACAATTGTAATTTTAGATATTTCGATAAATCGGTACGGTTACAAACAATTGAACCATATTTAAGAGGCAAAAATAGTTCATCGATGTTCAAATCTCATAAATAAGTACAAATTTATTTTTAAACAAAACATTGAGGGAATTGCATGAAATTCAAACGGAGCGAGAATGTGTGCGTCGACAAGGTAATCGTATCCTATTATACATGCATCACCTGCAATGCAAATCCAGACTCATACAAAATGAATCAATCGGAATAAGACACGATTATTTTTGGTATTTTAAGATCTAAGACCGCGAAACACATATAGCTAATATGTTGAGACTCTGACATATCGTATCGGTCAACCAATCCGTGACGGTGACCACAAATCGTATGATGTGTCAATTTCACCTTTTTATTTTTGTGTAAAGAAACACCTTGTTACTGAAATCCGTATAGTGTGAACATGCATGATATTAATGTATAAATTGAGATATCTTAACCACATACGATGGGACAGAGGAAATGTTATTATTGAGAATCGGAAAGTGAGCAATAGGAAAGGTCAAACCATCACGTTTGTCACAGATTTTAGTTTGAAGTCGTCCACATGTGTAAATATAAATGAATATTTATTTCACTAATCTTTTAATATCTCGCAGGCATCAGTAGTTATAATGTCGTCAAGGAATCCTGCGAACGTTTAATATCTTAATATGCTTTTCAAAATGTTGATTACTTAGTATATTGATCATGTTATCGGAAATATTTGTTAATGTCGTGTGGATGATATTGAGGAACTCTTAGATTATTAACAGTAACACACTTAAGGAACTTGAAATTTACAAAAAAAGAATTGTTTCATTGAGTATAAGGTTGATGGTACCCCCGTAGATTTAATGCCCTATAGGCGTTTAATGATTCAGTAATGATAAAAAGTAACGCAAAACGATACCATTTAAAAACATAAGCAGAATAGCCTAAACCGTCAAGATTGCCTAAATGAGTTGCAATCTTATACCATTACAATTATATTATAATTTTTAAGCATGATAATATCGCAAAGGATAATCCATCAGCGTTTATATCATCCCAGTTGTAGTAAAAACGTATGGTAGGATTTTCGTGTGCCTCACACGTATTATGGAAAAACTAAATAAGATCATAAATTGGACAAACCAAAAATATATATTTTGTTACCAAGTTGCAACTTTTGAATGTGATCGATATCATTTTGATTTGTCGGTCTTTAAGGTAGCACTACAGTCAGAATTTTCTGACTCCAACCAACAGTCTTTAAAGATTAATTTCTCCAAAACTACTCAATGGATTTTTAAAATCTTTAACTCATTTTAAAGCTGAAATATTACTCTTTCTTAATCCATAGATAAATTTATTTATGGTATGATAAATCTCAAAATATAGCTCATTAATTGCCAAAAAAGTGGTCTTCCAACTTGGATGGAAATGGCACATTCAGGTCAAATGGTAGTAAAAATTTGTTTTCATCCCTTTAATCAACCATACACGAACTGCAAAACTGTGTCTCATATTTTTGATATATGCCTCCAGTAAGAAGATATATTGATTTAACTGCTGGGTGCCAAACCTCATTTCAACTTTCATCTTTGGAGACCTATAAATTCATTTAGAAACAAATTATCCAGAAACTGGGACACGGTATTGTAGAAAATACTCCCTTTAATCACATATATCAAAGTCAAGCCAAAAGGGGGTACCCATAAAGTTTATATTTTCATTTTTTCCTAACAAATCTCATGAAAAATTGTTCTGAGAAATGACTAAAAACGGAATTTCCCCCTCAGAACCCCTATAAATGCAACATAAATACAAAAATTCCACTGGGAACACCCCAGGAGTATTCTGACACCATTACTTTATCAATAGAACCACACACTTTGTCTCTTTGATGCTCTTATGCTGTAAATTTTGCATTATGTGTGGCACTGTGCAACACTAACTTGGCATTTGGCGGGAGTTTGACGTCACAGATTTGACTAATATCTGTGATGTAGTAATTAAATATAGACAAAGCTCCGCCTCTGTCCAGACAGTCTAAGATAAGAGAATAACAGGATTGACCAGCTGCATATAATCAATATTTAACATCATTATTCTCACTATAAAGAATAAATTTCATTTGTATTTTAAAAAGAAATATACTATTACTGAAATTTAAGCTAGAACATTAAAATTGTGCATCAAAAGACAAGTTAATAAAAAGATCCAAGACCATCCACTTCTTTAAAAAAAGACACTCCCACATGATTTTTGAGTTTTATGGAATTGAAAAATTTCACATAAACTTAAAATTGGTTAAAATGCCTAAAACTGTATTTAAATGTAGAAGACCAAATAGAAGAAATTTATACAGGCAGTCAGAGGCTTTCAAAGATACTTTCACACTCTTTTCCATATTTTTTTTCATTTTTTGTAGATTTCTTCCCTTTAGATTTTTTCCTTCATATCTTTTTCTTTTTCTTTGTTTATAAACATGTTATATAAATTACTTTTGTTGCAATACAATGAGATAAGACCACAATATTTATCTTGTGGTCAGGGATTAACAGCTGGACACTGGTATCAACAGATGATTGACATATTAGCCCCTCCCAAATGCCTATATATTTAGATTAATTACCATATGCTTTTATTTACATAAGTTCATTATCAATTTACTCCCTGTTGTGATATGATAATGACTTTGGGATTTTTACAAACTGTGCAGAATAATACTTAATTCAAAATTATGTGATAAAAAAAATATCTTCAAAAAATCATTGTTAGACTGTAGTGCTACCTTAAGAGTTCATCTGGTTAAAAAACCTATACAGACAAAATGAATGAAAAGTCATTTAGAGGATCAGACATATGGCACGAGACAATTCGCGGAGTGGCGTTGTTTACGTTCCTATAGTTAAAACTTTACACGAGCACCTCAGTGTAGTTTTAATTTATAAATGCTGTACATGTGTACAAGTTGTATCGTTTGTATAAATTGTACATTGTACGGACTTTTTATGCATCTCATCAGCATATTACTAACTCCTTCATTAACTCTTTGAATGAATCAAGCACACAGTCTCTAAACAATCTTATTGCAAGACTTGTTTAGTGTTGTACTACATCATTATGTATTAGTTGGTATTGGCTTTAATCTACCTTTTGTTAAATGCTAATATTCTAAATTGGTACATGTTTAAGTTTTTTTGTTTTAATCTTTATTTTAGTTGTTATTTTTTTGCTTGCTGTCAATCTGGGGTCAAACCATCCACATTTTGTTCTTAAGTCGTGTTGTTACTACCTCAACTGTTTGCATTTTCTTTGAAATTTCTTTGATAAAGAGTTGATGCTTACAAGAAAACTATCAAAGCAAAGGTTCAATGAGGGTAAAGTTTAAGATATCTTTCGAAATATTTTACAGATGCCATCACGACTTGGTTAACTAGTAAGGAATATCTGTGTCAAAGATGATCACGGATATTCTCAAAATGTCGTTACCACAATCCCGTCCTCCTGATATCAATTGTGACATCACCAAATAAGAATTGTTACTTGTAACAGTGTAGTGTTTTGTAAAGTTGTATATCTTTTCGGTTTATTTTGCCATGGCGTTGTCCTTTTCTCTTTGACTTATGAGTTTTGAATGTCCTCTTGATATTGATTTTCAAATTTGATTGATTTTCACTAAAATAATTTCTATAATAGAAATTCTCATGCAGTAAAACATTAGTTAACTATGCAAGTATTATAATAAAGTCTAAAAACAAATTTCTTTTTCTTACAAGATCGACATGCTTGAACAAAAACGAGTCTTGGTTTTCCATGTAAGCTTTCACAATTTTCAGATGAAAAACAATCTGTTAAAGATTTCAGCTCAACTGGCCAGCAATCAACTCCATAAATTTTTGTCCCGCTACCGTGGCTCATTATTATCAAAATAGCACATTCTGCACACTTCTCCTTATCTAGTTGTTTAGCCTCTTCAAGCAGAAACGATTTCATATCCTATAATGAACATAATCCATAAAACCATGATCATTAACTCATTTTTTGTCAGGAATTATTAAAAAAAACGATTGAATTATATTTATTATTCGGTCCGGTTTTTAAATGCCATTTGTCGTAAAATATTATGAAAATGATTTAATTTCCTCTTTTATTGTTTAATGTTGTACTTTTCAATTAGTTCTTGCGCTACATTTGTAACTTTATGAGACAATGTTAACTTGAAAACAGGGGCAACCATTTGGGTGAGTCCTTGATTGTTTTGAGTAACAAAAACACATTTATATATATATATATATAGTGTCTAAAAATAGCAACAATCAACATTCAATCTATCTAGGTGTGGATCAGTTTGTAAATAAACTGATGCAGTTACTACATTAAATTATATAAGTGCCTAAGAATGTAACTTTAACACACTATTGAGTGTTATAAAATTAGTTGTTATATTTTATATCATTCACGCAATATTTCGCTAAACAAATTAGCTTCATCTGGCGTGTGCATCTCTCAAGGTGAAATCGGATGCATGACAAACAAATATTTTTGTAGCTTGAACTACACAAAATTTGAGTAAAAGTTTAACAAAATTTATTGATGTTCTATAAAAAATATATGTTTGTAAATTGTCTAAATCTAAATCTTAGCTAAATGATTACCAATATTTGAAAATCCACAGATAATCTGAATGCATTGACATGGTCGATTGACGTTTAAATTGCTAAATTACTAAATTACTTACAATATTATTATGACCACGCGAGATTATCGGAATATTCAAAACATATAATTATTTCCATGAATAAATAATTTTTTATGCCACTCTTCATACTTCTTCAGAAGTTTCTTCCAACATGTCAAATTTTTTCAGTTAAAAAGGCTGTTTAACTCCTAGAAATAAACCACTTTACAAAATATATATGACTTAGGTAATATAGATCATACCAGTATACCCGTGTAGACTGTTTATTTTATATATAAGTGCCTAAGAATGTAACTTAAACACACTATTGAGTGTTATAAAATTAGTTGTTATATTTTATATCATTCACGCAATATTTCGCTAAACAAATTAGCTTCATCGGGCGTGTGCATCTCTCAAGGTGAAATCGGATGCATGACAAAAAAATATTATTGTAGCTTGAACTACACAAAATTTGAGTAAAAGTTGAACAAAATTTATTGATGTTATATAAAAAATATATGTTTGTAAATTATCTATAAAAATACTTTTGCCGCTTATTGTTAGATTGAACTACACAAAATTTGAGTAAAAGTTTAACAAAATTTATTGATGTTCTATAAAATATCTATGTTTGTAAATTGTCTAGAAAAATATTTTTGCCGCTTATTGTACAAAGCAATTCTTAAATCAAAACAAATAGTTGTTTTAGTTAAATAGAATGAAGTTCAGGATTTATTCCTTTGGTTTTGGGTAGAACTGTTTTTCATCTCTCTCATTAAGTCCATCAGGTTCAAGAGTACGTAGCTGATGCATCCAGAACCTTTCTCTCTGTTTTCTTCTTTGGGAGTCCCAATTTTGGTTTACCTCAATTATTTGAAAGGTGATATTTTCAAAAGTATGCCCTTTTCTTAAGAGGTGTCTCGTAATTGGACAGTTTCTTCCTTTTGTATAAAAAGACCGGTGATTGTTAAGTCTGATGTTGAATTTCGTTTCTGTTTCACCAACATACTGCAGCTTGCAAGTTCCACAAGTAAGAATATAAATACTATTTTCCGTTTTGCAATTAGATGTAACATAGATGTTGTATCGCTGCTTTGTTACTGTGCTGCTGAAAAAGTAGTCAGTGTTGGCGACTTTACAGCACTTACAATTGGTTCATCCGCATTGTTTGTAACACCCAGTTTTAGAAGTCTCTTGATTCTTTACTTTAGATGTGACAAGTATGTCTTTGAGATTTTTGGGTCTGCGATAGGCAATAACAGGAGGTGATGGAAAAATTTCTTTTAAGGAAGAGTCATTTTCGATATTTTTTGGAAGTAATTCAAAGAAGACTATCCGACATCCAAAGAATAGAGAAACAAAATTTCAAAGCCAAACAGAATAAAATATTCAAACGAGACCGTTTAAACCAGCAAAGGTCCGTTTTGGAAGAAGATCAAATTTTAAACATGTTAAAAGAGAGTAAATCAAAACAACCGAGAAAAACACGTTTCAAAAACAGAAACACTCAGTTCAAGATAATTTAGTTGTAAATCTGTCATTAATAGAACTACCCAGCAAACAATTCAACATTTTATAAACGTTTTAAAAATGTTTTGTTTTGGTTTCTAGAATGTTTTAAGAAAACGTTTTAAAAACCAAAATTTGTAGACTATCCTAAATGTTTCAAAAACATTTTGAAGAAACGTTGTTTGGAACATTCAGAAAACGTTGAAATAAGGTTTTTTGGAAAACGTTTTTCTCAACCTCCAACAAACCTTTTTAATACATTTGTGCAACAATGATGCATCAGTGCTACCACCATTACTTTGGTTTAATTGATTTGTGCAGTGTTTTGTATTTCATGCATTTCTTTATCTGTATTGCACGTTTAATTGAAGAAAAGCTTGGTTGGATGGATAGTTGTTAAATGTCCAGTTGCAAGTCAAATGCATATTCTAGATGAGAACATGATTATAAGAAATCAATACTAACCCTGTCTTAAAATAGACCAACATGTTTTGCCAGCTTTTTTGGTTCTTAGCCCACAAGGCATGTTTGCAGGAAGACATGTCCCTTTTTTCTGATTACAGGCCAACAAGTCTTTGCTCTAACTAATTTTGAGGAGAAGCAATCATTGGTTTGGCCGGGTTGAGGTTCAAACCCACGGCCTTTGCACTTGAGGGGAGCACACTCATCATTACACCATAAGCTCTAAAAGGAGATATTCTTTATAGCAAAAAACAATAAGTTCTTGCCTTGATCAGGAGATAACATATCTCTTAAACGGAGACCTTTGACATATTATCATAATAACTTAAATAAAATGATCTGACTCTGGATCTAGTATATATCCAATGCTTCACTTGTTGCAGAAATTGGAATAAGTTCTATAAACATCTTTAATTACTTTGAAACAAAAAAAAACAAAACAGTATTGACAGGACTAAAATCAAGGTACTTTTATTAATCATTTATTTATTCAGACTCTAATTCATCTTGTGTTATGGTCTGTCCTTTTCTTACAGGTTTCTGAAATTATAAAAAAGCAATTTGTTAACAAAATCAGTACTTTCAAGCACCCTATTAAAGCATATAACTCTAGCCCCAGTTAGCTGTAATCCCTTTTAATCAAGCTCTCATGTATGCAAATTTCATATAATCAATCAATGGAAACTTCTGCAATTTTTGCATATCAAGTAATTATTAAGATGGGCAAAAAACAAATAATATTTTACATGTCAAAATCAAATGCTACAAACATAACGCTAAGTTTTAATTGCAGGATAAAGACAATAATTTTATTGTCAAGAACATGATATGTTCATAATTATAAATTAACTGATAACAAAACTTTGAATTTTTGAAATACTAAGGCTTTTCTACCTCAGGAATAGATTACCTTAGCTGTATTTGGCAAAACTTTTCGGAATTTTTGGTCCTCAATGCTCTTCAACTTCGTACTTTATTTGGCCTTTTTAATATTTTTTGATTCGAGCGTCACTGCTGAATCTTTTGTAGACGAAACGCGCGTCTGGCGTAAATATAAAATTTCAATCCTGGTATCTATGATGAGTTTATTTATCTAAGTATTCAAATTGCAAAAAATAAACTTTAAAAAAAATAACACCTTCCAATTAAATGTAAAAGATATTCTATTCAATCGAAAAATACCTTATATTTTGGTCCTCCTGGCTTGTGCGGGGCCTGTTTTAGGAAGTCAATTAATACTTCCTCCATATCGGCAACCTTTGATCTTGGAAACACTCTTGCACAACATTCTGAAAAAGTATTACAGATTTTCTTATTATATTTAACTTCATTGAACTTTCATATATATATATATATATATATTTGGGACTCAAATCTATGGCATATGTGACGTTACAAATGTCAAACAAATCAAGTCTGTGGCAGATTTTTGTTTTTACTATGGGAGATCGATAAATTGCATCATTTTCCAGGGAAAAAAGGTAACAGAAAATGTCACAATTGAATAATGCCATATTAAATTGTCCCAGCCACTAAAGATAGCTGAACCTGTAGATTTGAATTTCCAGTTGAAAGTATTTCCCTTGTCAACGATTTGCGGATGGTTTAAAGGAAGATTTTACTTATCATCCCAAAGATTAGGACGAAATCTGCTGTACCTGTAGAAGCCCTCATTTTGCACAAAATTTGTCATATATTTGGAAACAAGAAAAATCTGCCATAGAATAGGAAATATTAACTTGCCATTGATTAGGACATTAAAAAAATCTGCCATAGTTTTGGGATGACGTGACGTCATATTTAGCATAGATTTAGACTCTGCAATAGATCTGGGACCCACCATAGATTTGAGTCATACATATATAATTATTTTATATAACTTTGCACTCTGTTTCTGGATAAGTGAGAAAAGTGATATTCAAAATCATTACATGAATTCTTTTTGAGATTAAAGTCAGATGAAAAATTCATTCTATATTAATGGCAATGGCTTTTAAATGTTCCACATATTTTCGTAATCAACTTACTCATGATAATCCTGCACAAAGGGTGACCTGTGAAAGCCTCTTTCCCCTTTTGCCCCTTTAAACTGTATTTGGCCCATAACAGATTGGTGCCACACTTCTTCATCATTCGTCTAATACAGTCTGAACGACTGTGACCACCTTGTGACACCAAATACTGGACTTACAAAATTACAATTTAGTCATGTTATTATTTATGTATTTTCCGTGAAATTAAATGTTTGCGACTCATTAGATTTTCTAAGATAACTTACACAACAATACATAAACAGACTCTTTCAATTTGTATCTCCAATTATGTATGCTCTATGCATTTAACCTATGAATTTAAAAGTACAAACATAAGTGAAATTAGAGTGCATCAGTTTGATAAAAAAACATAAAGAAAGTCTTTTTAAGGTGATGTCAAAGAGAACAGTAACCATATTGGAATAATCAGAGACACCAACTTACAAGTTTATTCTTGAAATGATCATCTTTCATTTTATCTGCAAGGTCCCTCATTTCATGTATATAGTTAATGGGGTGCTGAATAACATCTTCCACAATATTAGTGGCCACAACACCACCATTTCCTGTTGCAGCCAGCTGTTCAATGGCAGTTTTGATTTCTTTGATGCCATCCTCTAAGGTTCTTAATTTTTGTACAATAACAGTTTGACAGTCTACAAGACAAATTGATAAAAATCTTAGAGAATTCAGCTGCTGAGCTGGAAAAAATATCAAATAGCCTATTTCTATGATGAAAGTAAGTTCTTAAATTGTCTTGGTATGAAGTGCATAATTTTTTATCTATAAATACACTGGGTGAAATAAAAACTACATGTCTTGTACCTGCTAACTAAACATATAATCAACTGAAGGTTTAATGTCATCTTCACAAATTTTTGGGACAGACATACTGGCAATGATGTTCTGGAAAATCAGAAATTATTGCCTGCAATTATGTTCACGTATAAGGAGTTATTAAAAACATGATAAAGTTTTGTATACCTTATTTATAGAAAATCAAGTAATTTAACATACACTATACAGTATTTCAGACCAAAATGTGATTTTTATTTTTGAAAATGTGAGTACTAAATTATTGCATTCACAAGCCTGTCACATTTTACTTGATAATTAATCAATTATCTATTTAAAAGTGCTCATCATTACATAAATGTATGTCTCTAGAATGATACATACATCATTAAAAAGGCCATAGAACACTTACTACATGAGGAATCTTGTCTGGATCGGCCACTAGTAGACGGAACAGGCCTATATGTTGAGTCTGGTCTTTTTGAGACATCTCTATTTGGTGTAACCACCAATGATTGATCAGGCCTACATGTAGGACTTGAGTTAAGTCCTCTTGATACATCTCTGTTAGGTGAAATTAGCCTAGATTGATCAGGCCTACATGAAGAACTTGAGTTATGTCCTCTTGATACATCTCTATTAGGTGAAATGAGGCTAGATTGATCAGGCCTAGGAGTAGGACTTGACTTCTGTGTCCTTGACCCATCTCTGTTTGGTATAAATGTAGGAGCCTTGGGTGCAGCTGGAAGTTTTTTTCTTGGTTCCTGTCCACTTTCTTCTACAATATACATTTTATATCAATATTTACACCAAAATGCCATTGAACATAATCATATATCCTTCATTTCTAATGCTTAACCATATGATAAGGTAAATTTGTGAGAGACCCCCTCAAAAATTATGGAAGTCTATAATTTTGGATAAACTATCAAATCTTGGTGTACAATAAATTGGGCTTATGCCTTAATTCAAGGATGTATTACATATCCTATAAAAAAATTGCACCTTTTTGTATGTACAAAAAGCTCTGGGCCATATGGGTCATGGGGAATATTTCAGAGACAACAACCCGACAAAAGAGCATTTGTAACAGATTACAGAGTGTAAAAAAGGACGAAATAAGAATCCTATTAAGACTAACATAGGAAAGTCCAACCCTCACCATAAAAATAACTACTATAATTTAAGCTGATATGAATGGTGCACAATTATGTCAGAGCCTGATAGAAAAGGAGACTCATTATAAGGGTGGGAATAGGAAAACATACCATCACTGTCAGAATTTTTTTCTTCACGCTGTCTTTTTTTAAACCTTTTCTGCTTTTGTGCATGTAAGTCTGGTAATTTTTCATTATCATGCTCTTCTGAAAGAAATTTTACAAATAAATTAGATAATCAACAGCTGTGCTATGAATGAGCACATGAACAAGGATCTTGAAATTTTTCACATAATTTTAGTCATTTTGAGATAACTTCAAAGTTGGGTGTCCTTTAAAAAAAATAGATGTCAAAATTTCACTCAACGAACTTGTTTTGACTGTTAAATCTCACTACTTCATGAATTTTCTTCCCATTTTTCTAAAACGTCCAAGAACAGTTAAGGGAAGGCAACAGTTAAAAATGAAACGGTTTTAATTATTCAAAATGGTAAATAGTTTAGCCATCTGCGGCGTTTTTTCAATTTTGAAGATAAAATTAAAACTATTGTTTTGTGACAATACTAAAGTACAAGTAATTGCAGACTCATTTCAGAGATTAGTTTTGTTTCAAATAAAAGTTGCACTTGTTTTATTTAGCATGAAATTATTTTGCATTTTATGATTAAGTGTCTAATCTGCTATAGAGAATTTCATACATGGTAAATAAAGCATGTGTGTTACTTTTGAAAATATTGTTTAAGACATAAAAATAGCTTTTCACCAAATATACCTACCTCTATTATTTCCATCAGAATCATCAGAGATTAATCTGTCAGGCTTATTTATTACTCTTCCCTGTTCCACTTCTTGCTCTATGTCTGACTCGACATTACTCGTAACTTCAACCTTTTTGCAGTATTGATCTGCTTTATCATAGTCATCTGTTAAAATGTAAATGAACATGTATGTATTAACAATTTACTTGTTCACATATAAAAATGTTTGTCTTGTCTTTTAAAAAAAGTCATGAATGAAATACATGTAATAACTATAAACAATAAAGTGAAAACATAACCAATAACCATGCATGGTTATACAATACTTGTATATATGTATGTCTTAACTAGTCTATTTGAGTTAGGTAAGCTTAAAGCAGTGTTGGAAATAATTGCTTATCCACTTTTTGATGATCAATGACAGATCAAGGCAGGCATCTTTAGTAACTTGCTTTTTGGTGCAGTTAAAATGGAAAAAAAAAATATGAATATATATATATTGGATGGAGAGTTGTCTCATTGGCTCTCATGCCATATCTTCTTAATTCTATGTAAAATTTCTATCTATGCCCTAAGTTTAAAAAAAAATATATATCCTTCCCTGATAAACTGTATTCCAGCCCATCAATTTGTTTACCTGTATGATGAAAAGTTCTAATAGGGTGGACGCTCCACCTTTCCTTATCTGGTATCTCTCCTCTTCTAATTCTTTGGGTAATATTTATTGTGGTTGGGGGCCAATAACAAACTGCATCCTAGAAATATAAAGTAAACAAACCTCAAACTCATAATTTATCAACACAATAGTTGATTTTCACATCACAGACTTTTGACACGGATAATTGTAAGCTTGATATTACCTTTTTCCTGGACTGGAGAACCATGAAATTAAATATTCAACTAAAACAAAATTTCTATAGCCTTGTAGAGACTTCAGCCAATCAACAAAAATAAATGAATACACAAAAGTATAGTATGGAGTGAAAATCTATTTTTTTTTTACATAAAATTAAAATACACTAAGATGTTCATAAACTGTACTGTAGACAGGTGTTAAAGTAATTATGGACGGGATGTGATTTAGAAACTTGGTGACCGGCAGTACTAACACTGAGGAAAACTACTGTACTAATACTATAACGGATGTATGAAAAAGTATACAGTTATTTTTTTAAAAGAATGTTTTAAAAGTTACAAACATTATATTACCTCTCCAGATCCCTCGAGCCATGCTTAGTGCACCACGCCAACTGATTTTTCTCTTAGAAACTCAACAACAACATACACATTATGGTTGGACATCTGAAAGATAATGAAAAGTAAAACTAGTTAAATACTGAATACCATGTACAATTAAATACACATAAATGATGTTTCAGCGCATGGTGGCTACATTGATAGAATCTATTTCATCTGCATAATACATTGTACAATGTACATAATGATGTACTTCACGTCACATATAAATTATCTTCTTACCAAGTTAACTACAATGTACTTCATTGCATGGTCATTCTTTAATGCACAATGCTTTCCATTTAAGTGTTAGTATTATCTACATGTACATTTGTACCATGCTCTCTACACTATTACACGTACATGCATGTTGCTGTAATTAATACATGTACATATCTACATGAACACGAACATGCACATTTACATGATTTGGTACAATGTACCCTTTTCTTTCAGCACTTAACCATGTTATCATTGGGGAACACATTTTATTACCGAGTAATTTCTGCTTGTCTCACCAGTTGGAGATTTAGTTCTGTGGGTAGAGCTTTGACAAGTCTTGCATACATGTTATTAATAAACACAGTCTATGCCAAACAATTTGAGAGTTTGTCTGATCGAAAAAGAAATTTTAAGTTTTTTACTACATGTATAGTAAATTTTTAACATATCAAATGTAATTACAAAATGTATGTACATTATAAAGGAGATATTAGCTCTATTTATTTTTACTTACTCACATTACATTTCATGCAGTATAGTTAAAAATGCTACTGGTTCATTCTGGTCCATATCTATAAGCATTGCCCTTTTGCCCAGCTTTTCAGGTGACAGGAGCTTCATCCTAGTATTTCTTGGTGAGGCTTTATAAACCCCAATCAGTCTCGAATCACAAGGTGCATGGAAAAGTGGTTCTGATCTTTCATAAACTCTACACAGCAACAATAATTTTTCAGGATCATTTGGATCAACTTGTTGAGTCCTTGAAATGATTGCACAACACTGGTTATTGTCCATGACAAAAGCATTGTTTGGTTGTTTAAATTTTAGAACAGTTGACCTTTGAAAACTTTCTTCTCTCTTGGTACAACTGAATTTTTCAAGCTCATCTAATCTTTTCACAATTTGTACCATGGGACTCCTTCCTGATCTTACCATTTTTTTTAATGTTTGTAAATAGTTTTCAAACGCAAATGCTGAACATTCATCTAAATTTCCATATTCTTTAGCTTCGTCTGTAATATGAAGTAAGCTGTGTACATTGTAAACCAAAAACTCTGGACCATAAATTATTCTTGCACTTTCAGCGAAATACTCGAGCAGATTGTGTGCATAGTCAGCATGATTTTGGACTGAACTTGAACATACCAATATTGATATTACAACACTTAATGCCATGAAATTCTTATACATATCTGACCTCAAAATGTTTTTCAAGACAATTTTGCCAGTGTACAGAAGAAACTGTCTGAATTCAGTGGCTTTCCATCGATCAATTTCATCCAAGTTTCTCGGTTTTCTGGCAAAAAATTCAGGAACAAATGATCGTAATCTAACTAGTTTGCGACCTATTTCTTGAACTTGTTGATTGGACAGTCTAACTTCCAATTTGCCTCTTTTCCAAGTTATAAGTAACTTCTTCATTACACCAAGACATACTAGGTGCATGTAATCTAAAGGAAACTGTTTAATCATGTCTAATTTGTCCATTGGTAAATCACAAAATGGAGAGAGATAATTGTGATGTTCTTGATTTAAAGAGTTTCTTAATGTTTCATTTGTTCTTAAGCTCAAGTTATTAATATCTTGGTAAGTCATCCTACCCATCCAATTTCCTTTTTGGGAACATTTATCACAGCCGTAGTAGCCGCAGTATAGTTTAGTTCCTTTGACAAAGGCTCTAGCAGGAGCATCACACACTATGCCTTTCAAATTCACTTTAATAGTGCGATTGCCAGAAGGAAATCCATTTTGAAGTACATTGTCTAATTATCTTATAGTTTCTCTCAAAAAATCTAGATTTGATGGCTTAGATCTTCCTAATGTTAGGGCAACTGGAAAAATTTGAACAGGCTTGATGTGAACCTTACAAATGACAGGCCACAGAGATGTGTTAGTGCTTTTGAACAATGGTAGACCATCAATATTGAATGATAAGCTAACTTCTGACAATTCACTCTGTTTTTCTTCTGAGAGCGAAGAATAACAAGATTGCAGCTGTTTAACTATACCAAAAAAAATATATTCCATGCCTGATTTAATTTCTGTTGTTACATTTTTCATAGTTCCTAACAATGTTCTGGCAGTCAATGGCAATGAAGAGTGTCCATGCTTTTTTAAGACACCTAGAAGAGCATCAACAGCATTATGTTCAATAGAATTTTCATTCACCCATTGAGCAAGATCATTTGCTAAAATAGTATCTTTTTCAATTTCAAAATCTTCTTAATCAGAGTCCAAAACATTTTCTAGGTCTGTCGTTATTGAATGAAAGTGAAACAAATCATCTTCATCTTCTTCAAGATCAATTGTAGGGAAACTGTTATCTGATACTGGAACTATTTCTTCCAGTTCATGTGACGCCAACTGTAAACAAGTATTGAATGATGAACTACATAGGCTGCCCTCATCTTCATCTTCTTGTTCATGATTGAAGTGATGCTCAACATCACTGTTGTAATTGTTAAATAAGTTTTCTTGGGTAATAGCATGACTAGACGACTGCCTCAAAGCTCTTGAAGCAGCTATCCACTGTCTCTTGTATTCTTTTCTGTATTGTTTTCTACTTGTGCAGGTATCATCCATACTGTAAAGAACAACAAAACTCATGCAAACATGCAAATTTACATTTGTATATTTATCCCTTATTAAATATTATGGTATGGTGTCATCAATGGTCAATGATAAGTATATACAAATTTGGAAATAGCCACTCTACCGGACCAATAATTGGAGTACAAAATATGCTACTCTTGAATGTTTCCACTTTTAAACTAGGGCATTTGCTCTGATGATCATAGCTACTGTTGCATTCTAAATTTTTAACCGAAAAAGGATCCTGACTGGCATGACTAGGACCACTACAATCTTCATATATGCTGTGATGGTATAATAAACTAAAGGCTCTAAAGAGCCTGTGTCGCTCACCTTGGTATATGTGCATATTAAACAATGGACACAGATGGATTCATGACAAAATTGTGTTTTGGCGATGGTGATGTGTTTGTAGATCTTACTTTACTGAACATTCTTGCTGCTTACAATTATCTCGATCTATAATGAACTTGGCCCAGTAGTTACAGTGGAAAATATTTTGTAAAAATTAAAAAAATTTATGAAAATTGTAAAAAATTGACTATAAAGGGCAATAACTCCTTAAGGGGTCAATTGACAATTTTGGTCATGTTGACTTATTTGTAGATCTTACTTTGCTGTACATTATTGCTGTTTACAGTTTATCTCTATCTATAATAATATTCAAGATAATAACCAAAAGCTGCAAAATTTTCTTAAAATTACCAATTCAGGGGCAGCAACTCAACAACATGTTGTCTGATTGGTCTGAAAATTTCAGGGCAGATAAATCTTGACCTAATAAACAATTTCATTCTCGTCAGATTTGCTCTAAATGCTTTGGTTTCAGAGATATGAGCCAAAAACTGCATTTTACCCATGTCGGCCATCTTGGTTCGCGGGCGGGGTCATCGGACACATTTTATAAACTAGATACCCTAATGATGATTGTGGACAAGTTTGGTTAAATTTGTCTTAGTAGTTTCAGAGGAGAAGATTTTTGTAAAAGATTACAAAAATTTACGAAAAATGGTTAAAAATTGACTATAAAGGGCAATAACTCCTTAAGGGGTCAACTGACCATTTTGGTCAAGTTGACTTATTTGTAGATCTTACTTTGCTGAACATTATTGCTGTTTACAGTTTATCTCTATCTATAATAATATTAAAGATAATAACCAAAAACGGCAAAATTTCCTTAAAATTACCAATTCAGGGGCAGCAACCCAACAACGGGTTGTCTGATTCCTCTGAAAATTTCAGGGCAGATAGATCTTGACCTGATAAACAATTTTATTTGTCAGATTTGCTCTAAATGCTTTGGTTTCAGAGATATAAGCCAAAATCTACATTTTACCCCTATGTTCTATTTTTAGCCATGGCGGCCATCTTAGTTGGATGGCCGGTTCACCGGACACATTTTTTTTAACTAGATACCCCAATAATGATTGTGACCAAGCTTGGTTAAATTTGGCCAAGTAGTTTCAGAGGAGAAGATTTTTGTAAAAGTTTACGGACGATGGACGCCAAGTGATGAGAAAAGCTCACTTGGCCCTTTGGGCCAGGTGAGCTAAAAATGAATTTTGTACTTATAACCACTTTAAATATATATGTTACACAAAATGTTTATAAGCAGTCAGTGTGGTTCAAAACATCATTTATAACCAGCAGTAACAGATCTTTGTTGGATGTTAAACATGTTAAATAAATAAAAAAAATTTAATCAGACATGCAAGCAAAAAGTTATTTGTGAAACCTTGGCAGCCTAAGTGAAATTTTTCAGAACATCCAGCAAAAAAGGATGTCAGTTTAGAATGACTTAAGATCAGGAATACATTTTGGAATTGTTCACAGATATATTTCTTCCATAAAGTATTGCACCTGTCATGTCTGTAAATCAGTTAAACCTGAACTCATTAAGTCTTTTAAACATCAAAATTTAGTTAAAAATATACATGAAATTTCACATAGACTGCGTTGGTTTGAAGTGTTAATTTTTGCATTGCAGTGAAACATTCATCAATAATTTTTAAAAGACAGACCTAAGACTACAGTGCTGGGTAGTAACCTACAATGTATAACAATATTTTTCTAAATTTGTACTTTAATTTTTTTTATTACTTTGTGTAATTTTACATGTCCGGCATACAAAAAATCCTCTTGTCACGTATAATTACCTACCTACTGGGCACAAATTAAAGCATTTAACAATTTAATCTGTGAGGATTAATTTTCGGTTTTGTTGACACCACTTTTCAATGAATGAATAAATAGAAAGAAAATCCTATGTCCTAGAACATCTAAATATCCTCCATAATCATTAAAAGTTTAAGAAAAATTGGTTGGAGGTTTTCAAATTTACAAAACAACAATACATGGCATGCATGCAAAGTTTCTTTTAATCATCATTAAAAATATGCTCAGTATAAAGGAGGGACGAAAGATACCAGAGGGACAGTCAAACTCATAGATCGAAAACAAACTGACAACGTCATGGCCAAAAATAAAAAGACAAACAGACAAATAATAGTACAGATGACACAACAAAGAAAACTAAAGACTAAGCAACACGAACCCCACCAAAAACTGGGGGTGATCTCAGGTGCTCCGGAAGGGTAAGCAGATCCTGCTCCACATGTGGCACCCGTCGTGCTGCTTATGTTATTACAAATCCGGTAAATAGTCTAATTCGGTAAGTCACATTCGTGAAAAGGGAAGGGTATTGTAGTTACGACATAAGGAACATATCCGATATCATCTGTGAAACGGTTATTCCATAATGGTCAACCAACTCGTGATGGCGTCCGTAAATCTTCGTCCTTAGAGCATTTTACTGACATTTATGCAGTCCAAATAATTATAACGTCTTGAAAGGCTATAACATTTTTTTTCTTTGACGCCTTACAATGTACATCGACGGCGTCAACCAACAGATATAATAGCCTTTCAAGACGTCATAATTGTTTGGACTACTGACAATGGACACGTGACATGTGTACTTTGCACATGCAAGAGTTCAAGTACTTCACTTTGATACTATAAATGTAGATTTTTGCTGTTGTTTGGAAGTAAGAAAGGCGTTCATATTTCTATATTCACATCAGAAAGCTGTACAAAATGTCATTGATATTATTTGACTGTGCTAGTTAAAATAATTAATTATGGTGTTTTCTGAGACTTGTTTTTATTTAACTCATGTGAAAATCAAACCAGTACAGTGGTTGATCCAGGAAGTTCTAGGGGGTTATAACCACTTTCTTTGACAATCAATGTATCATCGTCTCATGGGTTTTCGTTATAAATGAATGCCAGAATGGAACCCCCCTTTTATCCATTTTTTAAAATAGCAGGATCCGCCACTGCAGTAGCCAATGAATGCATGAGGCATGACACAATGACATATGAAGCAGTGGTGAATGTGAAATTATCATTGTAAGCCTGTACGGTTAAATCTGTTAATAGACTCATGCAATTCCATCACAAAATGTCATGGAGAAAATAATGCAACAATTAATCTCAATTTCTACAAAATACATGGACATTTAATGATTTACTAAATACCTCTTAGACTGAACGCAATTCTGTATTTTGTTCCGTTATATTAAAGCCAACAATCTCAATCTAAATGTCAACAAGGTATGACTGCAAGGTATTCGTAAAAACTTTGTCTTTGGTGTCGTTGTTTTCCCGGTTTAAAAAAGGCGGTGAGAGTATCCGGAAGTTTCGAACAAATTAAATCTAGTGAAAATTTCTGCTTTAATACCAATTATTATCGTAAATAATACATTTTCTTAATTGAAATGTCAATCTTCTAATATTATAATACTTTAGAGGTGCGATAAAGGAAAATATAGAAATAAAATACGAAACTATCTAATAGTTTACACTGGTTTCCGGTTCTAAAGAAAAGAAACCAGTTTCAAGGCGCCAAAATTTTTTAAACGTATATAATAACAGGAACATATATATTGGATATACTGTTCCCAGATAATAATAACATTTTGAAGATCAAAGATGACATTTTGTAAATCAAAAACTGAAAGTTATTATTAACAAAATTATTGTGGCAATATGAGAAACATGGTTTATAAAGTTTTTCTATTCTATATAAAAAAACATTTTTGAAACATTATTAAAAAACAAATTCAAAACGTTGTTTTAAAATGTATTATTTATGTTCATCAAAAACGTTTTGGAAAAAATGTTTTTTTTACGTTTAAAAAATGTTTGCAGAAACATTTCTACTATAGTTACAGAAAACGTTTCAATTTAACCTTTTAAAAACATTTCTAAAACGTTTTTTCGCCACTAACTTATTTGAAACCTTTAAAAAACGTTTCTAAAATGTTCTGTGTTTGGTGGGTAACTGACTCTGAAGAAAAACTATTGAGTAAAGGCCTTAATTTCTGTCCAGTTCCAGCAACCGTCAATAATTTACAACTTGAGACAGATGTAGAAGCATTTGCCAGGCGTCTTCGTTTGAAAGAACACTTCAATAGACAACAGAAGAAAAATCTAAAAGAAGCCGGAATGAATGAATCTGGTTATGAGAGTGATGAAGGAGACATATGCATCCCAAAATTTAAAAAGAAAAGTACATGGAATCCACCTAAAAGCAAAAACGATAATTTGGAATCATTTATTACATCAGTCAAAGCTGAAGTCAGATCTTCAATCAGTGGTAAACAAGTGCGAAATATTTCAAAGTCAGAAAGCCAAGCCATGATAAACTTAAAAGACCGTGATGACATTGTTATCAAACAAGCGGACAAAGGAAGTGCCGTTGTTGTGATGAACAAGGCAGACTATATCGAAGAAGGGAATCGTCAGCTCTCCAACACTAAATTTTATAAAGAATTAACATGTGATCCAACCAAAGAAATCAACAAAAAAAATTAATGACGTCCTCTCAGAAATGAATAAAAATAAACAAATTGATGACGATACGTACGATTATCTACGCCCAGACGAAACTTGCACAGCCGGTCGATTTTACTTACTTCCAAAACTCCATAAAGAAGGGATTCCAGGGAGACCTATAGTATCAGCTAATGGCCATCCCACCGAAAAAATTTCAGAATTTGTTGATTACCACCTTAGACCACATGTTAGACAACTGCCATCTCATATTCAAGATACAACTGACTATTTGAAAAAAATGAATTCCTTAAGTCCTTTACCTAATGACACAATTTTGGTTTCGATGGATGTGTGTTCTTTATACACAAATATTCCAAAAGATGAAGGAATAGCCGCGTGTGAAAAAGTATGGAACACTCGAAAGGATAAACATCCACAAACTGACTGTCTAGTTCAATTGCTCAAGCTAGTGCTTGAAAATAACAACTTTATTTTCAACGACAAGCACTTTTTACAGATTGACGGAACTAGTATGGGACCAAAAATGGCACCTTCTTTTGCCAACATTTTTATGGGGGATCTTGAAGAACGCATCCTTTTGAGTGTGCCATACAAACCCTTGTCATGGCTCCGTTTTATTGATGATATTGACATGAAATGGAACGATACTGCAGAACATTTACAAGATTTCCTAGATCATTGTAATCAGTTCCATCATTCAATTAAAATTACATCTGAATTTTCAAGCGAGAAAATTGCTTTTCTCGACACCACCACATTTGTAAAAAACGGGGTCATTACAACTGATCTCCACACAAAGAAAACTGATAAACACCAGTTCCTTTCTCCAAAAAGTTGTCACCCGAAACACTGCTCCAGGAGCATACCTTACAGTCAAGCCATCAGACTAAAGCGAATTTGCTCCTCGGAATCCAAACTCAACTATCGTTTGGGACAACTAAAAAAACAACAAAAACAAGAGGGTACAAAAGCAAAAACATCACAGACGCTTTTGATAAAGCCCTAGAAAAAGATCGAGATATCCACTTGGAATACAAAGATAAGACGACCCACGCAGATAGAATTCCGTTTGTTGTCACCTTCCATCCCGATTTGACAAATATTTCATCTACTATCCGCAAGCACTGGCGTCTTATCGAAAATGACTCTTCCTTAAGGTATAGAACCACTAATTAAGGCCCGGTCGGAAAGAACATACAAGAAAGTAGTACATATTTTAAACAAAATAGTTCCTACGCATAGCTGTATCTTTGTCAATAGGTGGAATATTTGGGTAGTTTTGGTATCAAATGAAAGCTTGGGGACTTGGAATCACTGTAGAACCCTTGTTGAAAGTTTCTTTTGAATAATAAAGAAGTATATACAATTTTAATAGGAGGGCTCATTTGCCCTGTTGTTCTGATCAGAAGTACCTGTTTTTGTACTATCAAACTTCCGGGAACCAGTACGCTCTAATATGCAATTAAAGGTATGTTGAATTTTTCAGCACAAGTCAGGATAAGGTATAGTTTTGACATGAAATAACTGCTACTTTATTTGAACTTAAGACAAAGTAGCCATTAATGCTTGAAATTGCAGAATTTAACATAGAAAGCAATGGGGCTATGAATTAGTGGTTTTATACCTTAAAAGAAATTTTTCCATCACCTCCTGTTATTGCCTATCGCAGACCCAAAAATCTCAAAGACATACTTGTCACATCTAAAGTAAAGAAACAAGAGACTTCTAAAATTGGGTGTTACAAACAATGCGGAAAAACCAATTGTAAGTGCTGTAAAGTCGCCAACACTGACTACTCTTTCAGCAGCACAGTAACAAAACAGCGATACAACATCTATGTTACATCTAATTGCAAAACGGAAAATAGTATTTATATTCTTACTTGTGGAACTTGCAAGCTGCAGTATGTTGGTGAAACAGAAACGAAATTCAACATCAGACTTAACAATCACCGGTCTTTTTATACAAAAGGAAGAAACTGTCCAATTACGAGACACCTCTTAAGAACAGGGCATACTTTTGAAAATATCACCTTTCAAATAATTGAGGTAAACCAAAATTGGGACTCCCAAAGAAGAAAACAGAGAGAAAGGTTCTGGATGCATCAGCTACGTACTCTTGAACCTCATGGACTTAATGAGAGAGATGAAAAACAGTTCTACCCAAAACCAAAGGAATAAATCCTGAACTTCATTCTATTTAACTAAAACAACTATTTGTTTTGATTTAAGAATTGCTTTGTACAATAAGCGGCAAAAATATTTTTCTAGACAATTTACAAACATAGATTTTTTATAGAACATCAATAAATTTTGTTAAACTTTTACTCAAATTTTGTGTATTTCAAGCTAACAATAAGCGGCAAAAGTATTTATATAGATAATTTACAAACATATATTTTTTATAGAACATCAATAAATTTTGTTAAACTTTTACTCAAATTTTGTGTAGTTCAAGCTACAAAAATATTTTTTTGTCATGCATCCGATTTCACCTTGAGAGATGCACACGCCCGATGAAGCTAATTTGTTTAGCGAAATATTGCGTGAATGATATAAAATATAACAACTAATTTTATAACACTCAATAGTGTGTTAAAGTTACATTCTTAGGCACTTATATATAAAATAAACAGTCTACACGGGTATACTGGTATGATCTATATTACCTAAGTCATATATATTTTGTAAAGTGGTTTATTTCTAGGAGTTAAACAGCCTTTTTAACTGAAAAAATTTGACATGTTGGAAGAAACTTCTGAAGAAGTATGAAGAGTGGCATAAAAAATTATTTATTCATGGAAATAATTATATGTTTTGAATATTCCGATAATCACGCGTGGTCATAATAATATTGTAAGTAATTTAGTAATTTAGCAATTTAAACGTCAATAGACCATGTCAATGCATTCAGATTATCTGTGGATTTTCAAATATTGTTAATCATTTAGCTAAGATTTAGATTTTCCCCACACAACTATGTATAAAAAAGAGATATATTTGGGGAAAAATAATCTGTTGACACAGACATATGTCTCGCCTGTATATAGCTTGATAGTAAAATGTAAATGTAGATACTAAAATAGCAATACTGCTATATGTTAATTATGCTAAATACTCAAAGTCAATGAACCATGAATGAAAAAACAGCGCATACTAATTTCTGAGATAACTATGCCAATGAAAATAAATTTGGACATCACTTAAATATGAAATAAGCGATGCAAATGCAGACATTTTGATATAAGATAACAATTAACTGCAAACACAGAATTTATCGAGGAAATCCGAAGTCGAAATTATTTAATGATTTATAAACTGACATCCTGGTCTTTCATTGTGCAAGTAAATTATGGAACAAATTCTTTATCTTTACCAAATGAGATTGATTGATTGCTAGCATTTAATGTAATTGTCAGCACACTTTTTTTGGCTACATGTATATCACGGAGGTTACTTTTTATTGGTGGATTACACTGTAGTATCTGAAATGAACCACAGCCCTCCTGCAAAAAAATCAATCCTATTCATTTAAGATAGGAGTCGAATATACCTTATTGAAGCCGGGTTCCAACTTACAACCTCGGCATACTTTACTGAACCGGGGTTCCAACTTACAGCCTCGGTTTACCTTATTGAAGCGGGGTTCCAACTTACAACCTCGGTGTTGACAGGCTAGTGGTCAATGTATATGAACTACTCAGACCACACGTGTTGTCCTACTTTGTTGAAGGCATTCATTGTCTTAATTACATTTTGATGAGGGAAGAGACTCCACAAAGTATGCTAATTTCTAAGGCAATAAAACATCTCTCATTAGTAAAAAAAATGTCCGAAGCCACGGCCACTAATTTGGTATATTAAAATTAATATATTTCCTGTGATCAAGGCATTTGTTATGTTTCTCATACTTGTGTCGTAACCACTTTTTTCGGTAACATTAATCATGGGGCTCGGATGAAATTTGAAAAAAGGCAAGACAGGAGTTTTGAGCAAAAAAAAAAAAAGGCAGGATGAGCAACTTGGCAAACAAACAAGGCAGGATGACAATTTATGTAAAAAAAGTCAGGATAAACTAATAAAAAAAAGGCAGGACCGAATAGATTGAAAAATAAAAAGGCAGGACAGAGATTACAACTAAAAAAAATGCAGGACAAAATTTTTCATCCTAGCCCCCCATAACAATCAAACGGTAGCTCCCTAATATTCTTGTCGATCAATAAAACTACTGCACCAGGTTTTCATAGACAGTTACACTTAAAAAAAATTACTTTGGAAGAATGGTACTGTTTTGGAAATTGCCATTAAATGCCGAGAACCTGGAAATGTTTGTGTGGAAATCGAATTACGATGACCATCAATTTATTACACACATTGAAAGTGTTCAAATCTCACTCTTACGTCGATGATCTTTATGAAAACGTGATAACCGGAATGGAAAGTGTTACGTTATAGCTCTACATGCACTCTAAATGGTAAGAAGTCCACAAAATGTCTCAACCAATAAAATGGCGGTAAACTCAAAATAGTTCCTTGTGTACACTTATTCTGTACGACGTTGAACAAACAAACAACATGTTTTCCCGTTACAGAATTTAATGTTCAACTTTGAAAGTCTATGTAAAATTTATTAACTTCCTGCGTACTCTAATGGCAATTTAATGCTCGGCATATTGTTTAGACTGCTGTTTATTGTTGATGACATTATTTCGATGTCGTTTTGTTTTTGAGTTGCTTCTATCACAATAAACAAACTGTTATTCATATCTTACTTGTGATGTTAAATCGTCTTTTCTTAGCACTGTAAAATGGAGTTCCTCGAACAATTTGGTCAAATTCTCAGCATCCTTTATAGAGGCTGGCCGATCTTGCATTGGCCCCTTAAAATTAACATTGTTGATAATGAAAACTTTTCCTCGAAGCTCACTCTGAATCGTGTACACGTACTGCAAAACATACACATAAAATTTAATAATTTGTTTTCCCAATAGCACCTTTCTGCGATGATACTAAACTATGCGTTTTAAATTTGGGATAGAAAAACATGTTGATGTCTTAGCCTCCAGTTTAAATTAAATTAAATTCAAATGTAATATATATTTGCCATTTTCCTAGTGTATATAATATTTACCAGAAGTAAATTATACATTATCAATGGGGTCTTAAACAAAAAGAATGAAAAGACAATTTATAATCAGTAAATCGCTATTTTCCGGGCAACATCAATGGCGTCAACGTATGACGTCATACATTTATTTTGACTGAGACAAACAATAATCAGTTGGAATCAAACTCCTAGAAAACGTCCATTGTCGTAAAGCTCTATCTGTAACATAAGAAGTGGCAAAAATAATCGGTGACGACAACAATTCCGCGAAATTCAATCGGCTAAAACATTTGACGTTTAAACTTATTACTTTAGCATACATGCAATGATTTGTTATATAATTAAATTTCAAAGTTTGCAAAGTTGTGAATAAATACAACATGCATCCAAAATTTGTCAGATAAAATTTTATTATCAAATCACTTCATCGCTTCAGTCCTCAAATATTTCGGTCAACTTTTTGTTTGTAAAAAAAAAATCGAAATTATATAACTTGACGTAACTTTATATATGCAATTACGAAAAAGAACGTTTAATATCTTACATGAAACTGGGAATACTTTTTTTACATGTAAATAATTATAATTAAGCCATTATTTATTTTACTAATTTAAAATATACTTTAATTTCGGTTACCACCACCATGCCATTTGGTTGCTGGTTTTGGGAGTGTTTCTAGTTTAAAACAGTGAAGGATTGGCTTCATTTAGTTGCAGCTTATTTCAAAGTATTTTCAATTACTTTGTTTACAAGATACAACAGTAGACTTTTTGATAAGAAGACTTGACAGTTTCCATACAATCTTCAAGTTGGCGGTAAGAACTACTAGTTGCTGTGTAAGGTTTGACGAGTGAAACACATATATATACAACATTATTTTGAGCATTAAGATTTTATCATGACGCTAAAATATAAATAAGAAAAACTTAATATATGTGTCTCCACTGAAGTTTTACTGAATTTTCGCAGTCACGAGACTCTGCTGTTGCTGATAAACGTATTTGTAAGGTCAAATCGGGGTTAAGTGCGTTGTTTTACTTGGACCGATTATGTTTATTGTTAAAACCGGCGCGAGTTGTGAAGGACAGACAAAAGTTTTTTTTTAGCGTTTATACTTCTTATTTCTATTATTTTTATTCTTATACTTATAATTATTTCAAGTATATGTAAGTTTTACTTTATTGAAATCAATACGTCAAGTCTTTCCTTTACACATTGTATTAGAATAATATTTTCACAACACATATTTAGTCACACTTAAATAAATGCGTATGATTACACTGTAACAGGCTAATTTTGGCATAATTATCTACAAATTTTTTTTATGTTTCTGTATTATGAACATAATATTTTAATTCATGGAGATGTATTTGAAACACATATAGGGTTACCCCCTCCCCCCCCCCCCCAAAAAAAAAAAATAAGTGCGAATTTTATTTGTAAAAGGGAAAATTATTTTGTTAAAACGTGGGGGTATGAGGACTTTGAAATGTTGGAAATGGTTGAGCTTACAAAATGAAAATGATAGTCTCAAATGCGGGTCCTCAAATTAAATTATACAGTTTAAGTGTATATACACCTCATTGACCGGAATTACCTCCTACGTTTTACCTGAAAAGTTATTCTTAAACGTTTTAGCTAATAATGAAATCCTACTTCTGTTATTTTCTGAATAAATGCAACTGAACGAAAGAAAATGAGAAAAACTTTAGGTCAACCTAGTCAACAAGTATCTGACGAAGGACACGGTGTTTTGTGGTGCGTTTGATAAATGACCTTATTATATAATAACCAGCTCGATTTTTGAGATCCGTTCCATTCAAACTTCAAACTGCCGGGTCGTTTGCAATTAAAGCAAAAACTTTTCAATTTGAATATTTAACATTTCCTTTTTTGTTACTTTTTTCGTGATGGAATTATAATTATATATCTTTAGATTTTTGTGTCGCTGCGATGCTGTTTCATTGACAAACAACCGACATTTCCTTTAATATTATTCTACACCAATCAAAACCTTAATTACTTTTTTTTATAAACTGTCTAGTTATTTCTTCAAGGAAACTCATTCAAAACAACGAGCCGCGATTTGTGATCACACAAAACATCAACGACCGGATTTATATGATACTTGAATGATATATTTCCCGGAGTTAAAATTTTTAGCATTATATTTAAACAAACAAACAAATCTGATCGTTGATGTCTTCAATGTGACTTCATTTGTTTCAATCATTATCTAGTACAGAGGACTAAAATGATTTTTACTGAGAAAGGTTCTGGGTAGTCATATAACATTGGCTCCGACATTTTCTATTGCTGTTTGTCTTCTGATATTTTCTTTTTACCTAGTTTTATATTTGTTACTTTATTTATCATCTTTGTTGTCTTTGCCGTCCCAAAAAAAAAACCCAAAAATGAAAAATGAGGGAAAACCGTAAATGGCTCGAAAAATGTAACTCGTATTTTGTAAAAAATACCGAACGATTTACCTTCATTTTGTTTGTCAGCGACTATCGATTACAATGATTTTTGCAAACACATATTTATTTGTACATCAAAACTTAACTAACACGCCAGTAAAGAATGTTCAAGTATTAAAATGTTAATCAAAACAAATGTTTTTCCCTAAGTATTTTTGCAAGTTATTTGGTTAAAGAAACTTTTGGCGACCACGTAAATTTAAATGTTCCTTGTTAAACAACGTAATAAATGGGAGTTAACGGATGAACATTTAATTTTTACCTGATCTGACACAGCAAATAGATGAATGAATGAAATGTAATATACTACAAGCATTTACAATGTCTTACCTCTTGTCCATATTCATGAATAAACAATGGACTTTTTGTATCTTTTATCTTGATAACCGGATCATTCAGCATAACTTCTACCTGTTTGACGCTCGGAGGCCATTCTTTAATAAACATAAACAAGTATACAGCATGTAATGTTAGTGTTTTTAAAATTGTTACATCACCCAAATATGCTTGTCTCAAATCATGATATTTAATAATACTTTTAAATATGGTTTAGGCCATTGAGAAATATGGTATTATTGCCAGATTGTAACAGTGTTTTTTTTCTAATTTGATAACGAAATTTAAGTATAGACATATGGATATAAAAATGAGGAGATGAGGTATGATTGCCAATGAGACAACTATCCACCGAAGTTCAAATAAAGTGGATGTTATAAGCAATTATATGTAACCGTACGGCCGGCCTTCAACAATGAGAAAAACCCATACCGTATAGTTGGCTATAAAAGGCCCCCACATGAGATATATGAAACAATTCAATCGAGAAAACTAACGGTCTAATTTATAACAAAACAATTTAAGAAAAACAAATAAGACAGACATGAACCGCTATAAACTACAGGCTCATGACTTGGGACAGGCACATAAAGAATGCAGCGGGGTTAAACATGTTTGTGAGCGCTCAACCCTCCCCTTACCTTGGACAGTGGTGTAACAGCACAACATAAGAACAAACTATAAAAATCAGTCGAAAAAGGCTTAACTCGTCAGATCGATACAAAGCAGAAAAACATCAAACATAAACACAAACCGGACGTGGCAGGGTATTTATCCATCCCTCATCCCCAACAACAAAAAGGACACTAAGTACAGATCTGAGAGTACTCGCAGTTACTGACAGCTAGTTCAAAGCCAATATTAACTAATAAAAAAAAACATGTATCTAAGACTAAAATATCAATCAGTACGCATCCAACATCCAGTGGATTTATTGTAAAGACGTCGTTAACAGTCAGAGAAAAACATGACCTTGTGCAATGCCAAAATAAAGGTACCGACACTGTTGAGAAAGACATAGTAGTGATATTGTATTTCATTTCGTTTCATCTTTATTCCATCGAAATACCAGGGAGGCAAATCATTTTACCTCTATCCGTTCTTCCGTCACATTTATATGTAGGCCATGGGTTTACCAGGCTATGTTCATATATTTAAATTATGCACATAATCAGGATTCTTGCAGAAAATGAAAGAATGTTGCACTTATTCATTGTGTGCCCCCGTGAGGAAAAGTCCAGCAGATTACTTTTGTAATAACATAAATAATGAAGTAAAAATGCATTTATATTTTATAACTATTCATGTGAAAAAGAAAATGCTCTGAAAGAGTTTTACACTGGTCCCTTACTCATTAGGGACACTTGCTTACAACGTATATATTACTTAAAACGTTCTTTGTATAATTCAATTTATTTTTTACCCCCTGCTTACATTGCAAATCACCAGTTATGAAAATTTTAAGATTATCTACGTCTGAAAATTAATTTGAACATAATAATCTCTTGTAGCAAATAAAACAAACCCAGTATGACAACTGTCTTTAAGTTGGTACTAATGTGAAGTACTTAAATTCGCTGAACATAGAAAAAAAAATTTGATTGAATGCAAGATGATAGTTAAAAAAAATAGATAAACAATATTTTTGAATATCTTTGATATTGTCGTTGTGATTTATTTCCACTTCATCAACTCTTACTGTCTAGTTTTTTATAGCTATTTGCTTTGCATTTTTTACTTTTTGTTTTTAAAACTTGCAGATAGAAGTCGGTGGTCTGATGTGTTGTAAATATATTTTGATATATATTCAGTAATTACATATACATGATAAACAGTTTTTTCATTTCATTCAATCTCTGTTCTAGCTCCTAAATGCAGGGTACTTATACATCTCCACAACAAAAAGACACTAAGTACAGATCTGAGCATTGTTAATGGAGAACAAATCTAAAAAATCCCCTCAAATTGTTTTTGGAAAGATGGAAACGTAATTCAATTACTGCACTATAGTGAATGAAAGTGTTGTTAACATTTGGTCGACATAAACTATCAAAGGGAAAAACATAAGCTGTGCTCAGTGTGGGTTGAAGAGTCCTGTCAAATTTTTCGACATTGTATTGAATAAAGTGATTTTACTTTAACACTTACATAATTAGAACGAAAACAACTTCTAAATTACTACACGAAAGAGACTTCTGTCAACGGTCCAGATTATCCAGTAAAGCAAACTCATCAAAGATGGAACGAAATTGCTGAAGAGAAGTTTCATAGTTAGAATTATCTAATCAGCAAGGCAACTGGTCTAACAAAACACAGTACAAATTTGCCACTAATGTCCTGACCTCTGACGGCAAACAGTTTTGCGAAAAAGCAGAAAACTATTCACTGTTATGAAGACTTAAGCAAGTACACCCGTATAGCATATTAGTGAAATGACATAAGCAACAAGCTTTGTTAAGCTATCCGGTAAAACCTTATTATTTATAAAAAAGACTGTTTATGTATTACATTTTTCAAACGGAAGTATCTACACACCTTTTGGTTCCGTCTTATTGTCTCCTTCTTCAACTGCTAGTACATAAGGCGCAAGACCTTTAGCCAGTTCCTTGTTGCTAGTATCCAGAAAAGCTTGATGAAGAGCGGCTAAACCATTCTTTCCTCGATAGTTTAAAAGGTCTAAAATCTTTCTCGTTTTCTGTTCATTTTCATCTATTTGCTTGAATTATGGAAAACCAAAAATGAATATCAGTAATAAGTACAAACCAGAAACGTTAAATCTAGATTTTTTGATGTCGTTCGTTCATTCCATGGCACATGATTATTCGTGTAGTACACATTTGATTTACTTTACATTGTTTCCTCAAATTTGACAACAGAAGTGGTTAACCCCATGATCGAGGTGGTCAAAATCGTATTTTACATGTACCAGTTACACTTCAAAACAAGATTACGCCTTAATAAAATTTAATTGTATGCTGCATAATTTTACATCTATACCTTCTTCTTTCCTGTCATGATACAATATGCCAAAGGGAGACATTCGGAATGCGTCAATTACCAAGTCATCAAATGACATGGTCAATCCTCAAAACTCAGTAGAAACTGTTAATGTTTCAAGTTAACGCGGTATGCAGAAATCAAAAATGTTCGGGACAATCGTACGTAATAATATGATACTTAATACATATGTGTGCTTGAATCAAAATGTCATAATCAAACTTCGACTTTACAATGTATTTCATGATGACAGAACATCTAATTCACATAAAACATGTAAAATGACCTTAAAGCTAAAGTAACATTTTTTTCCCATATTTATGTAATTGAAAATATTTCCAGATTTAACCCACCATTTTCTTTGGTAGATGCCTGTACATGTACCATGTCAGGAATATGACATGTGTTTTCCATTCGTGCTGTTGGTTGATTACGTAAATCGTTTGATTTTGTCAGTTTTAAGGACTTCCCCTTTTTTTAAATTTTCGGTATTTTTGTTATACTTTCTCTTTGACATCAATTTTTAAGTTGACAAACAGACCAATCTGAGGCTTAAATTCGTCCATTTTTCCTTTTTCAAACTTAAAAATTTGCTGGGTCACACAAATAAAGAATAATAAAAAATGAAATAACATGTTTTTCAAATGCTCTGTTTAACATTTATTTATTTGATTTTTATGTGTATGTTCTTTGTATTGTAGATTTGTAACGCCAGTACGGATAATCAAGTAAGCATTATTATACTATAATATTTTATTAGAAATATCATAAACTTAAGACATGGCATTAAATAAAAAGGTGTGATTGAATTTTGTCATTTTTTAAACTTTTGACTGGAACCAAAGAATCTTTTTTGAATTTTGAATTTTGAATGGACTACGGTGACTTCTGTTCCCCGATGATAATTAATATATGAATCAAAATCTCGTTTAAAGAAGAACGGTCGGATAATCGACTTTTACAGCAATGGCGCATAGACCCCTTTTCATTTCTCGATTAAACATCTTTTTTTTTTACTTTTTTATTGTGAAATGTATAACTTGATATAATTTCTCATCGATATAAACATAAGTTACGACATGGAAAAGAGTTTATATTTAATATGTTTTCATTTCTCAAATCACTCATTTCGAATTAGTGTTTAGAGAAAATCCAAAAGAGTTGAGCAGATTTTTCAAATACTAATATTAACTTTTCTATGATCAATGCAGGTTTATTGCGTCTTTTTCTCTTCCGTTTAGAAACATAAATATTTGGTTAATCGTGTTTGTTATGAACTGGCCTATTTTATTTACTTACTTTTACAATTTCGTGCATTTCGTCAGTAAAAATTTCCGACTGGAAAAGGAGACCGGCAACTGCATCAGGATTTGCCAAGCCTCCAACAATTTTAACTCTATTCTTTTTGTAAGCGGTTTTCCAATCACAAGACATCTCTAGAACAGACATTGTAATTGATTATTATTATAAAATAAGCGTCCAGCAGCAATATTTCATGCACTGTAATTGAATTGTTTACTGGTAGAAATCAAATATTATATACAGTGAACTATATGATATGCCACAAGAAATAAAATGAGCCACTCCTAATATCTATATTAGCATATTGAAATAATATAAAAAGCCTTTGTACACAAATAGCAGTTTAGATGAAGAAATCGAAAATGTATACTCGGAGATTGAAGACACAAGTTCGAACTTTTTTGAGATGACTTACGGTAGCGTTTTAGAAATCTCTTGTAAGCTAACTAACTTTAAAGCAATACCCGAAGGGTGAACATTTTGCAATGATTGCTGAAAGATGTTTATGTTATGGCCTTCCAAATACCGTTTCGATTCCTAACATCACTGAAGAGACATTAATTGTCGAAATCCGGATATGGTGTACTTATTTTTGCACCTTTTGTTTGCGGTATACCATCTTTTCCGCAAGTTTTTTTTTATTGTTTTCTGTTTGGTATTAAATTTATAGTTAAGATCCATTTTGTTACATCTGGTGATCCGTTTATTTGGCAATCGCCAATGGCAGTCAGCAGGGTATAAGAACATCCGTTGTTCGACCTGCTAGTCAAATGCGTTTTGTTAAAATATACTTTCTCACTCTTTTGGTCGTTTGGAAAATGTTGTTTGTGCTGTATTTAGACCCCTCTACCAAGAAATTTGTTTTGCATGCACACGAATAAAAAATGCGGTTTTTATCCAACGCAAATATAGGTTTGAACGTTGTTTTCAATTTAGACTTGTTTATTATGTTTTGTGTATACTTAGAGTATAAAAAATGTCATGTCAATACAAATTGTAAGTAAATAATCATTACTTCTGAAGCCAGAGTCTATTGGTATTTTCATAATGTCAAAAAATCTTCTAAATTCCCCTCATTCGTAGATTCTGAGATAAACTTTTGATCAAAAGAGAGGCGAAAGATACCAAACGTGACATTCCAACTCATAAGTCGAAAAAAAACTGACAACGCCATGGCAAAAAAAAAAAAGACCAAAAGACAAACAACTGTACACAAAACACAACATAAGTTGTTAAGATTAAGTTAATTGTTTATCATTGATTCTGCTGGAATCCTCGTCCATGTTAACAAATATGAAAGTTTGTAGAGGCTGGAAATTAAAATTCTTTGATTGAAAATTGTAATAAATTTTTTATTGCATAAAAGAGAATGCGATCGAGATGGGGGTTTAAAATTCTAAAAATGCAAAACAGAAGGAAATTTATCAAAGGTCCGTAGGAAAATACATATTTCAATTACACAATTGAACAATATTCAGTTTTCCTTGTTATGAATTTTCTGGTTTGATACTTTGATAACTGAAGGTTGTTTCATGAATCTACCGAATCATTAAACGTTTCCTTTTTTCTCATACTGTCAATACATTTGTGACATTTTATTCAAAAAAGTACACAACTGTGGCACAACGGTAATATTTTTCTTATGTTTGGACTAATCATTTTTTCTTATGTTTTAATTGACACCATGTCAACCAACCCAATTCTTCCTTAACCGATTATTGTTGTCATAAATATTATAGAAAGTATTGAGTTATGTCAAGGTTCCTTTCAATCGTTTTTTTATCAATCTTAATTAAGTTGGTTTGTTTTTTTAATGAAATAACAGGTCAGACGGTAATATTTGCAATTCTTAGTTTTTGACAAAAAAATATAAGACTCGGGATTTCACAATTCCTCAGAAAATTGAGAAAGGTTAAAGATTATAGCCATAAAGAATTCACCCGCAAACTAAATAAGTCAGAATATTGTATCGTGTCTATGATTTAGCCGTATGTTTTTCATGTGTATAAGACTCACCAGAGGTGCTCGAATCAATAGTAGAAAAGCCAAATTTAATAACGAAGTCGAAGTGCATTGAAAGCCAGAAATTCCTCAGAAGATCTAGGCATAATAGTAAATAAAAAAATAAATCCGTGCAGTTGTCAGTTTTCAAAATACACTTCAGTTAGTACCTTTCAATACCCGACTATAATTTAAGAAGTTATAACTGAAATAATAATTTTAAGAACCAAACATATAAACATAGAAAATTCTAATTATGAGATTAATATACACACAAATGCACAATTACATTATTAACTTACTTGAAAGTTTCACTGAATCGTTGAGCTCTTTTATTATTTATCCCTCGTTGGTGTTATTTAAGAAAAGTAGTTATTATGTCTAAAATTAAAGACAACTTTTTTAAAGTCATTTTTAAAGTTGTTGCGAATTAAACTAGATAATAATAAATACACAACAGCGCTTTAAATGTCCACATTTGCAGAGGTAACTTTTGAATATACCTATATACACACAATGCAAATTCAGAGTTTTAATGCTCACATATACACCGCCTGTAACAGTAATGATCACATATACAGCGCTTTTAATCCGGTTTTCATGTTGACAGTCGAATGTTGTTAACGAATTAAAAAAGTGCCTAAACTTTAAAACAAAATCAAACACAGGTATGGTCGCCGATGTATGCGTTCATCGTATGTACTCAACAACCAAAATTCAGTTGCGTAACTAGGTTCTGCTTGCAGTGAGAATCGGTCGACAAGGGGTCTGGACCGCTGGGTGACCGGTATGGGGAACTTTGGGGGCGAAGCCCCCGGAGGTTCTGTGGATTTAGCAAATACCAAAATAAATTTTGATATTGGAAATTATCTGTTTTTCAACAGCTCCTCTGTCCAGTCTTTTTTTTTTTTTTATAAAATTGAAGTAAACGGTTAGGTCATTTGTTGACAACATTTTTTTGTAATGACCAGTAGAATATCATGCTGTTAATTTGCCTATTGAGTACTAGTACACTAGATAATTTCTCCTTAATTTTATAGAGAACTCGATGGCGACCATTCGACCTTCAGAGAGTGATGCAAACCTTACAAAACCTCGTACAAATGTACCATGTAAGCCTTCACATGATATTATGAATTAAACAATGTCATTGGGTAAGTCAATAAAACAAAAAGGTGCACAAATTAGGCCGATGGTTATACATTTTACTTTTTGACTTTTTCGTACGTGGAACATAGTAGTCTCGACAACAAATCATACAGACTCAAAACAAAGCAATTATTCAACGTTTGCTTGACATACCGATATATATGAATGGTGTATAAAAGTTTGCTGGCATTTTGGGTATACATACGCAAGCGAGACAGCAACCTATCGCCATAAATGAAAATAAGTGGCATTTATTTCAGGCATATTCAGGACGAGAAACTATAAACAGTTAATACGATATGTAGGTCCTACAAGCTGTGACTGCAGGGATTAATTGACACTGGAAAACAAATGGACTATTATGGATAGAGACAGACATTTTGCCTTGCGAATGGCCATGTGGACTAGCAGAGAACTGTTGCAAGGTTTCTTTAAAGTGCGGAGATTGTGGGATGCTCTCTACACGAGGCGTTGGATTTAACGTCCCCATTCTCACGTACGTTGCTGTATATTTATACATCCCACAGCCAAAACAGGCGCCCGCTTTGGCAAGGAATTTAGTGCAGGTCGGAAGAAGACCAAGGTGACCCTTTGGGTCGACATAAATAAAGAAGTCTGAAGGAAATATTTGTTAGACGGACGGATAAGGTAAATGCAATGTACCCCACCTCCCCTCCCCCCCCCAAAAAAAAACAAAACAAATTTATATGGAATAATAATTTCATATTTAATGGTTGGCATTTTATTTCATGTTTGACGGTCGTTCCGAACATAGATTGTTCATGACTAAGTTTTAAAGGCACGCAAAGCAAGCAAGCAAACTTTTATTTTTGTATTGGAATTTGCATGTCCTCTTCAGTGACTCCACAGTTCTATTTTGGCTTCGCTTTGAAACTCGTATTTAGTTAAGATGAGATTGTATCATAGGGACAAATACATTTTGTTTTTTTAATTAACTAATGATTGCACACATGACCTGATAATTCACCCGGGTTAACCGTTCTTCGTGCGGTGTATTTACCCCTCCCCTCCCCCTGAATAATCTTTTTCATAGTTTAAATTATCTAGCAGGTCAATAGATTGCCATTTTGTCTGATATTTCAATGAAGTCATTGTTTTTCGTCATGTTTTCTTTTGAAAGTTCTCCGATATCAGTATACTCTGAAAAGCATTTCACAATATTTGCACTATTTGTTGAATATCTTATGAATTACTTGGCATAGTTTTAGTTTATTTAGGATTAGTGGCATGAGGTTCTGACTCTATACTCAGAGAGTAAAACAGATTAGCTATTGCATCTGATGCATCCTTTTTTTCGATTGTCTCCTCCGAAACAAGAATATTTATTTTTGACATGATATTCTTAACTGTCAATAAAATACAGAAAGGTCCAGGTAAATGGACCCTCGTTTTTATTTATCGACTCTCTCTATATATATTTCTCTTTCTCGATTTTTTTCATCCAATAATATTTTTCGGCTTTTGTGTTTGTGCTAGCACATGCGTCGTTGCGTCAATGGTAGCTACGCCAGTTTTGTATTGGAGATTAAACAGAACCTAGAAAATTAGGGGGTGTTCGATATGGACAGACATTGTGTATTGGAATAGGTCACCCCTGTCATGTAACGCTCAGAGTTTTGGTGCAATGATTATATAGCACGAAAAGAGCGTGAAACTCACCCAATACAATGTGTTTGGTTTAACGGCCCTATTTTGACCGGAAGTGGCTGCGTATCTATACATCCCCCACTTAAAAAAAAGCCCCACGCAAGATATTTTCTTACTGCTAAAGGAGAGAAATTTAAGTATGACCATATTTCTATTTCCCAGGCAAACCTTAATAAGACACTTTCTTTTGAAGGATTGAATGGTTACCGTACATGTAATAAAAATAACCAAAAGCAAGACACAATAAAGGAATAATAAACTTTTTTTTCCGACACAAAAAACGAATCATTTATGTAAATTGAGTTCAGTTATATGTTGATGATATTTTCTTTACTTATATAAACTTGAAATATTGTTTTATGATCACAAACATCATCTGGACATTAATAAGAATCAAGGCTTTATAATCAAAAGGGAAAAAGATGAGTTCAACATAGTCACAAACCTTTGAATTTTTTAGTGAAAGGACATATTTTATATAGCGGAACGTGAAGTTAAAGGATAATGACAGCTTATTTCCTGGTAAGCTCCAGTAAAGGAACAAGTCGACAAAAAGAATTGGTTCCCATAGGGATGCCGATTGTATGTTGGAAAGTAACGTCCTCTAACCCTTGGAAAAAATTATATCAATCGAAAAACCATGAATTATGATGATGTCAGTTTCAGAGCTAGTTTTGTTTGAATCAGAGGTGCGTCAACGGGAGACCCTTAAACCGACCATTTAGTTAAAATATATAGTCCATTTCAAAATATAGCATGTGGAATTATACGGAAAAGGGGGTTCCTTTTCTGTATAATTCCACATAGTTACACAAATACTTTAAAACAAAATTTGCGGCATCTTATACAGAGTCAAATTGATTTTAATCATTTGTGAACTTTGCAAATAGTTAACATTGATTACAAAGACTTCTACTTTCAATTGTAAAAGGAAAAATGTCTGAACTATTCATTTTTTTCGATTAATTACTTTTTTTGTCTATATAGCATGATTGCTCATATGTAATGTTTAACATTTATCCATTTGTACTTCAACAACTGATTTGGTGTATCTGCACATTAAGAAACATATATTCAATTTTCATTTAATCTGCTACCAGATTGTTTATTTTCATTTAATCTGCTATCAAATTGTTAATTTATGTCCAACAATTTTATAGGCACTCGATTGTCAGTTTTCCTGATAAAGATAGGGGTTCTCTCTGGACACTCAGGCTACCACCAAAAAATAAACACTGACCGCCACGACAGCCAATAGTGCTAAAGTGGCAATTAACATTTTCCCTTTTAATCATATAACCTTGATCCTTTATTAATGTCCAGATTATGTATATGATCATGAAACAATACGTCAAGCTTATATAAGTAAAGAAAATCATTTACATATAACTGAACTCAACATGTCTATGTTGTGTATTGTATAATGTTGTTTGCCTTTTGGTCTTCTTTTTTTTTTTGCCATGGCGTTGTCAGCTTATTTTCAACTTATGTGTTTGGCATCTTTCGTCTCTATTTTATCTCCAATAAAAATAAAAAAAACGAAGGCATAACATCTGTATAGAATGACTACCCAATGTATCTCGATTTACGTTATAAGTATAATCGTTGGATTGAATGATTGGTGTTTAACGTCACTTTCAGCACTATTGGCTATTTGTGAGGGTCAGTGTTTATTGCTGTAGGTAGCCGTGGTGCCCGGAGAGATTTACCGACCTTTGACAGGAAAATTAACAAACGAGGGTCCGTTGAATTGCTGACATAAATTAACAATCTGATTAAATAGAAATTGAATTAATTGATTTGCAAAGATAAATTAGATTGTAATAAATGAAGAATATAGATTAATGTTATTTACGTGCACATACGTGTCAAATATGCCGTTTGGACAAACTTTAGATTCAGTAGCTCGGTTATTATAAAATGATTTCTCGGATAAAATCTTTTCCAAGTAATCTTTCAGAAAAGTATACCGCGAATGATAAGGGTAAACAAGTAATCCTTTTAAATTGCAACATAATGATCGATGATTTATATACACTACGTGTCGTTAAAGGTCATGTAAAAAATGTTGTTAACTGTAAAATTTGATCAAATTATTGTACTTTGTTTAAATCTTATAACTTAAGGTTAGTAATTCTCAGTACTATTTAAATAATATATATCTCGAAATATTCCATTCAGTTGTATAATTTTACCCGCAAAATTCTTATTATGATTATATCCACTCAAAGTCATCTTCACAAAACTAATATATACTGGCGGAAAGAGGAATTTACAATAGAGATTATAATAAGGGAATGTGTAAAGGAGACAACCAAATGACCGAAGAGCAGAAATCCACCCTAGGCCACCAATGGGTCTTCAACGCAGCGAGGAAGTACCGAACCCGGGGCCGGGCTTCAGCTAACCCCTAAGCAATCGAATTGGACGTCACACTTAACTCCGAAACATATAAATGAACCTGACTTGAAACAGGCGCAAACATGCGGTGGGTTTAAACATGTTTTCTGAGATGTCAATCCTCCCTATACCTCTAGTCAATTTGGAATAAACAAACACACAGCTATACCCACAGTAAAACTCATTTCAAAGGAAGTCCGAGTCCGATGTCAAAATAAGTATCTGAATGTCAATAATCAACATAAATTAACAAAGGACTACTAGCAGTTACTGGCATGACAGCTCCAGACCTCTACTAAACTGATTGAAAGATTATGTCTTCATCATATTAAAATCAAGCACAATCCCTCCCGTTAGGGGTTTAGTATCAGAATAAGTAACTGAATGTCAATAATCAACATAAATTAACAAAGGACAACCAGCAGTTACTGACATGCCAGCTCCAGACCTCAATTAAACTGATTGAAAGATTATGTCTTTATCATATGAAAATCAAGCACAATCCTTCCCGTTAGGGGTATAGTGTCATACCATCGTAAAATATACGAGAAGAACATAACTCGTATCATGCCAACAACTGGTTTTAGAATAAATGTGTTTATTTCAGATGCAAAGACCCTATGAGTGAATCAATATTAATATAATTCCAAAAAATGCCATCTTTAATGACCTGACAATAGTATCGTAAATATATCCCTTTGAATAAGTCTGTTTAAAGGTTTGGTTAGCTTTCATGGCTTTTGAGGTGAATGACGACATTTATCTGCTTTTTATAGAATATTACCATAACAGATGGGATGTGAAATACCTGAACGTATTAGATGTCTACACGTTGATTTATATTTTTGAACGATGTCCTTGTACCGATGATAAAATTTAGTAAATGTGTTGACAAGTTTGTGATGTTGAAAACCCTGGTGTTATAATTTTTCAGTAATACAGAGATTTCTTTCGTTAAAATCAAATACGTTGTGATATACACGAGTGAATCGAACAAGTTGAGATATATAAACACCATACTAATATACTTCTTAGTTTCAAATCAAAATCTTTGCGAAAGGCATCCCATCTAGCTGGCAAAATTAGTCTTCAAGATTTTTTAAAACGATCGAGAAGGTGATAAATTCTCCTACAGCCTAACACCTACTAGACATGGGGAGAATTCGTGTTTAAAAAGATAGAAATAATTTCATAAATGAAGACTTTTCATTTATATTACTTGCATGTACATCAGTGTCGAATATGTAATTGAACAAGTCATAATTGCAATAGCTCGGTTTTTATACAAATATTTTACAAGAAATGTTAAAGAAAAGTAGTCCTGGAATTATCAAAATATTATTAAGGTTAAAAACTAGGCCATTTGAATAACTTCTTAATGGACATTTTTAGGAACTTCGTGTACATGTATAACGTAGGTAAAGTAATGCAAAAATAGATGTTAATAATATTAATGTACATTGTGCTCTCTGTGAAAATACCCGATCGTTTTGTAAGTAGGGTAATCTGTAGGTATATTTCTTAGTATTCTATAAATAAATATCATTCGAAATATTTCATTCAATCAAATAATTTTACCTAAACAATTCTACTTATGAATATATCCGCACAACACCACCTCCATACCACATGAACATACACTGATATATACTAACGGAATAAACTTTAAATCCTATAATCCAAAAATAGAAAACAAGGGAAACAAAGTAACTTCAAACGAATTTGTATATAATATACATTGAGTACTTACATTATTGATCTTTTGACTATTTTGTTTACTTCCTTGTTTATCTATAAATATACTTTATACTGTGACAATGTTGAATGTAATGGAAAACCCAAATTTGATCGGCCAGGTATTACTTTTGGTTTGAAAAGCAGTACATTACATTTACATTTAACACTTTATGAATTTCGTGCGTCCAAACCGCTTTTCTGGATTTCAGGGAACGCTCAAATCTAACACTTATAAACCAGGGACAATGAATGATGTATAAATACGAAAAATCGTTAAGGTCTATATGACCAAAACGAACCTAAATGATAAGCATAGTTTATACAAGATGAAATTTTTCCTGAGGGAGTTCGAACCTCGGTTTCTTAATTTTATCAAGGAAATTTCAGAAAAAAAAAACGTTAAAAATCATGTCAGTACCGAAGCACTGACTACTTTGCTGATGATTCCCTTAAAGTATAACAAATAGACGAACGTGAATAAGAAAAGAGCATATTTTGATGTCTCTATATTCAAGATTTATTTTTATCGTCAATGTTTATAAGTTCATTTTTCCTTAGGGAGTTGGAACCTCAGTTTCCTAATAGTTTCTTAATTTTATCAAGTGAATTTCAGAAAAAAAAAACGTTAAAAATCATGTCAGTACCGAAGCACTGACTACTTTGCTGATGATTCCGTCAAAGTATAATAAATAGACGAACGTGAAGAAGAAAAGAACATATTTTGATGTCTCTATATTCAAGATTGATCTTTATCGTCAAAATTTATACATTCATGGTCTGTTGAACATTTTGAATTAGTATGAATTCCCACTATCTTTTGTCTTTGTATATACATTACATATACATATATATTAATTATATTGCTGCACAAAGCCGTATGTCTCTAGGGGTAGACATTTCCTTCTTCCTTGTGATACAAAATAACGAAAAACATTTTTGCTACATATTTTGAGAGTCAGCATCCTGTTAAATAGTCTAGATCCAATGCTATCATTGCGTTTTTTTCAGACATTGTCGGTTGAACATAGAATATAGAAACATCTCCTTTTTGGTAAGACTTGTCTTTGGTCTATATAAACCCATTTTTATGTTTTACTAATTAAGAGGGGCATTTAGAAGATGACTTTTCCCTATCATACATCAAGGTCGGAAATAGGAAGTATAAGACACCAACTATTTACTTTGCTTTTTTATAGTTTTTTTCACTTTAATTAGAAAAATAAAGAATTTTGCATTAATGTGCTTATTAAAAAAAATGTGGATTAATCATCGATTGTTTTTTTAAAGAAACTTATTATTTTTTTACACCCTTCTAAAACTCGTTCTTCGGTAAATTTATAATCAAACATTTTATTAAAGGAACAAAATGCCTTCACACAAATGTAATCTTAGTGCATTAGGTATAATATTATTACAAGACCATGGTCAAGTGGAATTTAACAAAAAAAAAAAAAAAACACAAAAAAGAACAAAAAAAGGTACATTCTTAATCTCTTTGATGGTCGATAGAAGGCAACTACAACGCTAAGTATCTGCTTCCTCCATTTCTCCGACTCCTCCTTGTCCTGAATATGCAATAAATATTTTCCACAGGACATTAAGCAAACAAAAATAAAAAAAACAACTTTAAACTGTTGCATTTATCATTATATTGGTATGATATATTCTTTAATGACCAGAATCTGTGTAACAGTCAGAAACGTGCCTTTTCATCCACACGTGTAAAATTCCCCCAAACATGTCCATATGGCGTCACTGTACGCTTAACTATGTCCAGTTAGTTTAGGACGCCGAGATGTGTCCTTTCGATAAACGCTAAATTATGTCCATTTCTTTAAAAAACGCCTAATTGTGTCCACCTTTATAAGAAAGTGATTGTTATCATATAGCTTGGGAAACAAATCCAGTCGAAATTTTAAGATCCAGCTGTCAAAATTTATGAAGTATAGATTTTAAGTTCAAAGTATGGATATCAAGTTCAATTCAAGGGATAAAAAAATATGTTTCAAATAATTCTTATTATATTAAGACATGCACACATTTTATATTGTAACATCGGTCATTATGAACCATTTTTCCCACTTTTACTGACTAATAACATAAAAGGTACCAATAAACCCATCATGGATACCAGGCTTAAAATTGCTGACGCTCAAATAAATAAACTAATTGGCCAGATAAAGTATGAAGTTGAAGACCATTGAGGACACAAAATTTCAAAAGGTTTTTCTAAATACAGCTAAAAAGTAAAATTACAAAAGTACCGAACCCCAAGGAAAATTCAAAACGAAAAGTCCCTTATCAAATGGCAAAATCAAAAGCTCAAACTCATCAAAACGAATTGAAAACAACTGTCATATTCCTGACTTGGTACAGGCATTTTCTTGTGTAGAAATTGGTGGATTAAACCTGGTTTTATAGCTAGCTTAACCTCTTACTTGTATGACAGTCGAATAGAATTCCATTATATTGACAACAATGTGTGAACAAAACAAACAGACATAATATGTAAAAATGTCAAAAATTGGGGTACAGCAGTCAACATTGGTTATAATCTTAATCACTACTAGAACACACTCGCGGGTCCGTGACTGAATTAAAGTACCTATGCCTTATTTTTAGACTGGATTTTTAGTATTCGTATTGTTTTCTGATAAAGCCATGTTGATGGTAAGGTTCACAGTTTTTCTCTGCTTTCTAAATCTTTCTGTTTGAACCCGTCCTGGTTTTCTTACTACAATAAACTTACTATAAACAAAATATAATTTTTTAACTAACTAACCAAAATTTATATTAATAGTGGTATTGAGGTAGAAGAAAGCAGATTTGTTAAATAGTGTACTATAGTGCAACATAGATATATAACAACAACTGGAAGAATTCCAGGTTCTTCTGATAGAGGAAGGATTTACAGAAGGTAATAGGTGATTACAACCGGAAACTGCATGTGATATATTCTATTGGTATCGGTATCGGATTCGACCCGGAACTTGTTAATTATAGGTAATATTGATTATATGGAAAACAAAAGGGCCTGAAATGGTGTCATTTTTTAACAACACCATTGTCCTATATATAGATATAAGAAGATGTGGTATGAGTGCCAATGAGACAACTCTCCATGCAAGTCAAAATTTATAAAAGTAAACCATTATAGGTCAAAGTACGGTCTTCAACACGGAGCCTTGGCTCACACCGAACAGCAAGCTATAAAGGGCCCCAAAAATTACTAGTGTAAAACCATTCAAACGGGAAAAACAACGGTCTGATCTATATAAAAAACGAGAAACACTTATGAACCACATCAACAAACGACAACTACTGAACATCAGATTCCTAACTTATATATAAAGTTGAATTCTTTGATTCGTCGTTTTTACGTCATGCCGGCTAACAAATTGGACCTCGTTATTTTAGTAGTATAGATAAAAACAAACAAATATGTCGTCAAAGAAAAACAAAATGGCATATAGACAAAGCACATAAGCAAACGTGAAAGACAAGAATACAAAAAATTACCATAGCACTATAACACAAGGACCGAGCCACGCCAAAAGGATATTAGCAAAATGAATTAAACAGTGAAGGTTAATAATACACAAAGACAAATGTAAGAACACAATAACACGCAATTAAGATAGCAAACAACGTCACCACCTAGAATCTATACTTCAACATCATCATGTATTATTTGTGAAGTTGATACGGAATATTTATCAACAAGGTCTTCGTATCTTCCGATGAACGTTTTTTTAGAAAAAAGGACGAGACGTTCTTTGACATATTCTATTCCTTGGGTAGAAATCCTTTCTATTTCGAAAAATTCAAAGTATTGTATACATTTGATTTATAATTATGACCATATGAATGATAATTCATGTCAACACAGCAGTGCCGACTACTGCATGGCCAATCAATTCCATTTCATCTTCGACTTCGGGGAATAATTTCGTGTGTAGGGACATTGTAGGAGGCTATCGCTCTTACCCTTTAACATATACAGAAGACATTGTGTGCTCCGACTTAGAAGACAAGAATTTTTTTAATCGACGGAATATTAATTTTCACCTAATTTTAATATTTGTTTTGGGCTGCTTTGACACGCGAAAGTTTATTTTACTTTTTTTACATATTAAGTATTCTTGATCTTTGCTGGGCAAACTTTTCATTGGTCAAGGTTATGTTTCGAGTTCCTTTCAGGCCAAAAATACATTCAATAGATTCTCCTTTAAAATTAAATTCATAAATACAAAATAAATTGCAAGATATAAACAAAGATAACTTGTGACCTGGCAAATCCTGTACTTGGAATACGTAGTAAATTGTTGTCGGATCGATTAATCAGTTTCTAATAATTATTGACTGTTTTATCTGTTTACCTTATTGTAATTACAATAAATAATCAACCCTTAGCCTTTTTCTTTATATCGATCATTGCAATATCAAAAAGTTACTGAGAACAATTTACGGTATGATGGATATAATTTATTATACTGGCTCCTTACTCTCCACTTGAACTTGGTAAACTTCCCTTTCTACATTAATATCTCGCAAAAAATAAAACGATTCAATTGATCTATTCGTATAGGATCTTAAGAACAACATTTAAATTAATACCAAAAGTTGACTAACGAGGAAAGACTTACCAGAACAAAAATTGGATGATTAGCAATGAGTGTAACAACGTTAATTTAAAAACAAGTACAACAGTATTATCAGTTAAGTTAACATGCACCTCTTCCGTCCAAAACGGAAATGTGTAGTTAATATATTAGCATGCAATGAAATAAACCAGAATATGCATCATCAAAATGATCTCATGTTCACTTATTTTAATAAAATTTTTCGCTTACATCGGAAAACCACTTGCAAAATGGTTAAATTTTAATAGATAGGCCTCAGACAACAACTCGACCAAAGAGCAGAAAACAGCTCAAGGCCACAATGGGTCTTCAACAAAGCCTGAAAATCCCGCACTCGGAGGCAGGCT